ATCTAACCAATTACAGTCGTACAGATCTGACAAGCTAGAGAAGTAGCTCTGAAGGTCACATAGTACTGGTAATAGTAGTATTTCTCTAGATTACTTTCTACCCTCGCGGGTGCCTTCCTGCAGGGTTGGGGTAGGAGACGTTAATTTCCCACACACGAGATTACTGTGTGATGGATGTCCTCCCCTGGGGTGGGATGGGTGGGATATTGGGCGCACTTGATTTGGAGCCTCGCTCTGTTGTGCGACCCTCACCACACTCTGGTGAAAGTGATTAAATTAAGATGTAATGACACTCTTCTCTTGAGATAATTGTCTTGTAAAAGCCATCAGGTAATCATTCTAAATTTAATGTGCAACAAGTGCCCTTCTCAAGTACTACAGTAAAAAAAAAAAAAAAAAAAAACTACAGTAGTCAATGTCACTTTCGTAGGAGATCATGGTTTCATGTATTTATTTCCTTTTTAGGGTTGGAAAGAGAAGTACAGCCAATTCCAAAAAGTGAATACTTGTTTCCTGACGGGTCTTGAGCATCTACACAATTCGAAGTACGTGCATGTAAACTACACCAATCAACACTATTCAGTTTTGATCCAAAGAATTAAAGTCGGTAACACCCTATAGAACAAAACTCGTGAAGCAGAGCTCAGTAGTTTTATTCAGTAGTAGACAGTAACGCTATGTAGTATGTTCAAACGTGCGCGCTTTAAGGATTTTTGAAATCTCGTGATTTGAGCGTAAAATGATCACCCACCCACCCCTCCCCCTTCTCCAAATTTTTAGAATTCTCTGGAACTTAAAACAATAATTTAACTCGATCATTAGCTTATGTGTGTGTCAACTTTCCTTAGACTGAACATTGCCATACCTGTCAGTTTAAGACTTTTTTCATTTTTTTGTTTGATTTTTAGTTCTGAGGCTGTGGATTGAACTCGAAATTTAAACATTGCCCGCAGGGTATATGAATATCTCGCTTATTGACAGCCAATATTTGCGGTTGTTTGCCGTTATTCCATTCGTTTCAATCTCCAAACCACATTTAACAAACAGGTATGGCACTGGCTACAGAGCTACAACCAACTGTCTTCATCTACGGGATCTCTTACGTACTAGACATGGATTGAACCACTTTACACATGACAATGCCATTAAGCACAGTCATATGTCAAAGCACTATCAAATAACTTTCATTCGTAAGCTCATCTGTTTTTTATTTTATAAGTAACTCCCATGTCAGAAGAGCTAAACCAACGTTAAATTTTCAAAAACGATTCTGTTTTGCAGATTTCGTGAAGCATTACCTTATTTGGTACACGCCTATACATTGAATTCTAAGCTTCTCAATCCAGGCTCTCCCGGCCAAGCCATGGACGAGAAACTGCTGGCCCACTACCGGCGCGTTTGCTTTCTTCGTTTGAATGAGTTGGCAGTACGGATGTTTGAGGGTACCGATTGGAAATCGGCATGCGCGGGTCTGGAGTTAGTCAGCGAACTGGTGGTGCCATGTATACCACGACTCATTGCTTCACTCGATGCTGACGATGCAGCAGCTGTGGAGCAGGTCAGAAGCTGTTGGTGTAACTTCTTGGGATTACCTCTTGATGGTGAGTCCACTGGTTCCGTCACGCAAGATTGCGTGACAAACCCTCGCAAGTCGTATACCCCATTCGCACCAAAGCTGAAACATGTTTTAAAGCTGCTTTGTTAAAAAAGGTGTAAGATTGTTTCTTCATAGAAATTGCTTTTACTTCAAATTTAGCACATGGAAAATGTAAGTTCGTTACCACCTGATTCCTATGGAAACAGTGTTTTTCAGTTCTCTGTTTCTGATTTTCATTCAGTTAAACCCGGTTTAACTAAATTGGTCTTTGTTGGTGTGAATAGGGTACATAAGTCTTTGATAACCACTGAAAATTTTGAGTAGGGTCAGGTCAAGTTCCGGGAGAAATATCGATTTCATATTTTCATAATTCAAGCAGATTTAAGGAATTGGAGTCGAGCATGTTGGTCAGCTACAAGGTTAAAAGTTAGTGGCTTTGTTATCCATCCGCCGTAATGTGGAAAGTATACAGATTTTTGGCTCTGGTAATGCGGACCACCAGTATTCCATTCTTGAACGATCTTACGTACACCCTATTTTGTCAGTGAAAAGGACAATAACCCATGTCTCCTTCTCCCTCTTGACAAGTTTGCTTTTAGTAAGTGTCTCGGCAGCGTAGTACTTGGGAAGGGTAGGGAAGGGTAGGGAAGGACGGGGTAAAGTAGGAGATAAAGTGCACTGTTTGAGGTTTAAAAGGATTAGGATTAGGATTAGTGTTCTAAACATGGAAGTCGAAGAATGTAGAATGACTGACCATGCCTTTATTAGCCAACAAGACCTTCAATTGGTCTAAGCACACTTAATCAATCCCACCACAACTTGATTTGACACAAATGGAATAAACTTACCTCTTTCTTTCTTTCTTTCTTTCTTTATTTATTTATTTAGATCGCCATCGTGTAAAACTCGAAGAATACCTTCCAAAGCTTCTTGATGTTACAAGTGAATCTTGCTCTGAAATCAAAGCACCACCGATTCTTCGACCAGTAAGCTCACGTGACCTCTGCGATAGATTTGTCCGGGCGATGGAATTAGTGCACGCCAATCCCAATGCTTTTACGACGTAACGAAGCAGAGCCGAACACGAACCGAAGCTCATGGAGACCTTCCCTTCCTCGCCGAACAATATCGCTCACGTTCTTCTCTTTTCGAGCAAAACAAATAAACATTTCCGTCCATTTCTCTCAATGGAATACTGCAACAGCCTGGTAAAAAGTTTCAATTCTTCAAAGCGTTCGGATGTTTCTGTACATACAACATGAATAAATAAACTGCGTTGTATTTAAGAATTTCAAGCTAAGTTCATTTGTTGGATTAAATAAATGACTACGGACTTTATGGTGGAGCTTCTCCTCTTAATATGACATTAGCATTAGAACAGCGTATTTCGAGTGTCGTGAAACCAAAATCAAAGTAATCAAAACAGCCAAACAGAAAAGAGGAAATTATCAAAGGAGCCAATCAGAACATACAAGCTGTCTAGAACGGGGAAGACCGACATCTGATTGGTCGAGAGGGTAGCGCGAGTTTCTGAACCAATCACAGAGCGAAGTAAAGCAAAACAGATGCAATGTGGATTACTTTCGACACTCACTGGAAATTGGTTCAAAGTGAAGTGACCGCGTTGCAATGTTGGGTAGGGTGAAGAAGGAAGGCAGTGTATGTAACAATTATCCTGCGAAATCTTATGGGATATCGAGTGAAGCTGAGTCAGCTAAAATCGCGAAGTATCTTGTAAGATATCAAACACAAATCACATCTTCCACAAGCATTGTTTGCAATTATCTAGCCCCGACCTATTATATTCACTGAATGTTTGTATGCGTGTATATACTGTGGAGCGACTAGACACCATGCAACCTTGAACTCGAAGAAAATAAACATTTTGCAGCGGCAGAACGGAAAAGGAGCTCCGGCGCCTTGATTATATCATAGCTTTTGAACATTTCAACTCGGAAATTAAAACGCACAATATCTCAAAAGTCATGAAGGTAATTGATCAATAGACCGCACTTTCCATCCAGTTCCTGGCGTATTGACCCACCTGAGATGGTGAGAGAACACGCCTTTGGCTCGTCATCTACAAACTCATCGTGTTCTCCCAACATCCCAAATAGTTATTACGCCGGTAAATATAGGAAGTGCGGTCTATTGCTTTCCAGAAATAAACTTCAATTTTCTATGGGTTCACCGATGCAATAATCAGTAGGTTTTTGACCAATCAGTACGCTGTACGATTATTAGTCAGTTATTTTATAAACAAATTGATATTCGTAGGAAGTACGGTCTATTGCTTTCCTGAAATAAATTTCAATTTTCTGTCGGTTTACTGGTGCAATAAACAGTATATTTTAAACCAATCAGTGCGCTCGTTAGTACTCCAGTTATTTTATAAACAAATTGATCAACTGGTGGTTGTCATCTTGATAAAACACGCAACTCTCCTCACTAATTTACAGGGTGTCGCATGGGTAATGCAACGATAAGCAAGGCGTTTGAAGCGATGTCATTGCGCAAGAGTGGCGCTTACGAAGCATGCGCATGAATTACGACGGCCTACTTGAGGATCTTAATTGCTAAGTAATTGATACTAATTTTTTGCGGGTCGTTAGTTTGTGCCCCTTTAGCTCATTCCGAAACCGTCATTATGAGAGGTATTAAACTGTATGTAAACATCAAACGACTCTTTAACCATCTGGTTAATATGACTGTTCTGTTTTTCCTTCGACAGTGCAGATAAAAAGCCCTCGCATGATTCTGCATATGAGAACTGGAGGGTATAAAAAAATCCCAATCTTTCTATGAATTCCTAAAAATGATGGCCTACTTCTCTTTACGCTGAAACGGAGGTGTTAAACCTCTAAGGTAAGGACCCCCTCAGACACCTGTGTTTACTCACGATCTGAGGCTTAAATCAATCCTTTTTATAGATTCGACACCTGTATTGTCTTTTCCCCATGCTGATCAGTCAAAACGCGAGCAGAATTTGATTAAGAGCGTTTATGCTATTATCAAGTGGGAGAGATTGACTTTTCCGCTGCAATCGTAAACCAGCTTGCTTAGCATAACAACGAAAACTTAAGTGCGGCGAAGAAGGACAATGCGCGTATTGAAGAAAATTGTGTTAAATGATTTACTTATTAAATAATGGGCCTTTCTTTATTAGGATTTAGCAAAGCCGACAGTCCTAACGGACCTACTCTCTATCGCGTCCATCACATCTGTTATGTAATGACTGTCACTCAAATGTCACGCTATGTCTAGAAAATAGCGTGATTAGAATACCTAACTGGATGGCGTGTTTTCGTTATTATACAACCAATGCCTCCCACGTGTCATCTTTCAGAATGTCACGAAAACGTCGCGTGGAGAACAAGCGGGCGAACAAATGCTTTGAGAAATAAGAAATGAAACGAAGTGAAAAGCTTTGAAGATCGATTTTCCACCGATCTTATCTTATCGCAGTGGAATCGAACTCGTCAGGGTATATTGGTTTCGCTTTACTCGATGACAGTTCACAATAGAAAGATACCTTTGACTGTGGAAATATATTCGTCTGGAAATTCTATTGTTTTGGTACCGTTTGCTTTCCACCACCGGAAGTTATATTGTGTTTAAGCATCACAGGAACACAGCGACCAGTAACTGACCTGCTGTCAATGTGCGAACATTTCCTTATCTATTACGAATGAAGGTTTCAGCGATTGGCTGAAGACCCTTGTGTTGCAATTATCTAGTTGTTTCGAAATAAATTGTCATTGTCCTTTATTAAGCAATGTTGTTTAGCTAGACTCTTGAATTACGTCGTGACGTCTAGTTTAGCCGCTATGCAAGACCCGAAATAAAACTCGACAAAAGGGATCAAATTTCCGTGTCTGGGCCTTTGAACCCTGGCACCTGAATAAAAGCTACTTTTTCGAGCAAGCAGGCTTTTTCAGCGCAACAGATATCGCAACAACAGCTAGATAATTGGACAGAGATATTTGAATTGCGTACCGACGAAAATTTGCATAATTGTGCTTTCCCAGACAGTGGGATTTTTAGTCCGACCGCTGAATGCTAAAAATATTAGGACAAGTACGATTTTTTTGGACGAACGATCTATAACACCATCGGACCTCGCGCAGAAATGGAAACTACACATGATTTTTCAAGGTACCAACCTTCAACATTCTACATATGAAAATTTCAACTTTTTCTGCAGAGTTCATTACAGACGAACATACCGACTGACTCGAAGTTCTGTGTCATATCGAGAAATCACTCAGTCAAAATACGTTTTACTTTGCATTGGAATACACAAATGTCGACCGGCCAATTGAATCGTTGTCCTGGCGTTCGCGTGATTTCGAGCGTAAACGCCGGGTGAAATGTACAACTATCCTTACTAGTAACATCTTCTGAACTGGAGCACAAGGAAGGTAAAATTTAATATCTGATGAGTTTCTGTTCAATTACAAAACGGGACAATTTTAATCGAGGCGAACAATCGACGGTGAGATAAGTTGAACAAAACCAGGTTTTCGATCGGAAATTGATTTAGTTGGAGATTTTGTCGAAAGAAGCAATAGAAGATGGATCGAGTTATGATATCTTTTCGCATGTAACTGTTTCAACGATGCGATCTTACTTGCGTCTGATTATTTAAATTATTTGGCGGAGAAAGTCATTGAAATTGAACCCTGACTGTCTGAATGCGATTCCCTTATCAGCTCACAGCTAGAAAGAAAAACCATTGTATCCAAATCTGTTAGAAAATAGGTCATCGTCGTGAATATGAAGGCAGCGTATGTGAACTGGTTTGTAGAGAAGAAAATGGAACAAGGAGAGACGCTATAAACACTGTACTTCAAAAGTAACCTCGCAACAGCCAGACTGATTATGACACAAGTTATTGTCAATTGAATTATATTGTAGTTTGCTAAAAGTGAGCGATGGAATTTTTCAAAATCTGAACGTCTAAATCTCATACAAACCTCATGAAAATGCTTTGTCGTTTTCTGAGAGACGGAGTCAGGCAATACCAGCGGTTGCTTGTAACTAAATAACACCACATGCAATCTCGCTCTGCCCTGATCGAGTCTGTGAGTTCTTCATGGTATTTCATCGTTTTTCTTCTAAACCGAAGATTTCGTGCCTTCTTGCTTGATAATTTAGTTCCAAATTTATGTACTAATGTATTTTTGTCTGTGTTATAGATAAACAATACGAACAACAGCAGAGGGAGCCGGTGAGTGGAGGCGATTCCTAAACACGCTACAGCACGAGGGGTACACGCGCTATTAAAATCCTCCTTGCGATTATACAAGTAAGTCTCCAATGCAGTTATTGCAATATTTCTACAGCAAACATTGCCATAACTCTTTTCAACTCATTGCAGTCAAGATAACTGCGATTTGCATACAAAAATGAACCGACACGGGCTGTCTGAGTGACACGAGGTTTTCTCGAGTGGTTTTGGTCGACCTACACCGCTATCCATTCCTACAACACGAATCATCGCCGACAATCGTTTTGATGGACAAGAAAAAAAGCTATTTTCTGAGCATTGATTGTTTTTAGAATAGAAGGCCACTTTGACAATGAATTTTCCTCTTTTATCGCTCCCAGATAGGTACATGCCGTTGTGTCGCGCACTGTCTAGATTTTATGCAAAGCCTTTTAGACCGCATAAGGTTGAAGCTGTTCATTCACTAGTCAACATCAGAGATCTCTCCGGGTTCTCGCTTCAACACTTGCATAAGATTCTTCTCAATTTCATCCACTTCGCTTTCTCTTTTCATCACCAAAGCAACTGGTCACTTATCTAAGAGGAAACTAGAAGGGAAAACAGTTTGGACTTCGTGAGATGAAAAGCTCTCTAGGTTAGCAGAAACAGTCAAGTTTAACCAGAAGTATTTTATCAGTTTAACCAGAAGTATTTTATCTACTCACATTCGTGTATTCCTTTTTTGAACTTACTTTGAATACTTTTTTTATGCACTATATCAGAAAGAGAGCATTTTTTTTTTTTAAGAGCAGTTTGGTATTTATTAAAGGACACCGAAAACTCGGTGCATTTAAGTCTAAAATCTAAGAAAGCTGAAGTATGACAATAACAGGGAAGGTGTTTCATGATCCACGAACAAAATCTTTTTATAATGGTGAAAAATCATGGCTACAAAGTAGATTTACAGTCTGTTATTTATACAGATACAGTACGATTATTTTCTTTTTTACTGAAAGGACAAACATTTTATCAGAGGCGAGATCATGTTATGGCACTGTAGTGTAAGACAACAAGTTCTGCTTTCCTATACTTTTACATGTCTTAAATGGCTAATAATTCAAATTTGGTCGTTGAAACTTCTGTCTACTTTCACCTTTTTCCTTTTCTTTGGTCTGTGTAAGAAACTCAAGTTTATTTATGGATCTTTACTGCTTTCTTCCAGATACATATTTGAAGGAAGAAGACAGACAAAGGGAAATCAGCAAAACTGCAATGGTGACTACACATGGTCTTCCAATATTTTTTAACTCCTTACCCATTTCTTTAGTTTCTATAATCTCAGTTTTAGAAAGGTCGACTAACCCTACGTGCTGATAACTTAATCATCAAATGATTTATGCTTTTTTGTGGCACAAATTTACTGAGGAAACTAAATCTCCGAGGTCATCTCGAGGGCTGAAGTAATGTCTTGCTATTGGACCCACTTGACTTTTTGCAGGTCTGCCATAAATTCGCATGCTTGATTCACTGACTTAGGCATTAACTTCTTGTGTAGGAAGCTTCAGTCCACCATCAGGCTATTTTCAATCGTCTTGCAGACGAATAGTTAGGAGATTTATGTGAGAAATCACATGTTTGACTTATGTTCGTTGAGTACAGCCGGGAACTATTGTAATTTGCATAGCACCCCACTCACCCGGGGCGGGGTTTGTTCTCGAGCCCGAAGTGTGGTTACACATCCGTTACGTGCGCAAAACTCAGCTTTCACGCCATGTGTTTCGACCGTCTTCCGAAAAAGAGTCTCTTGGCTTCTTCTTTGCGAAAGAAATAATCCCAAATTATGTCTCATATTCTTAGATCGATGAAAGAGTCGTTTAGATCTCTGACATTGCCTTCTAAAAAATTTTCGTTCGCTTTTAGTCAACATTCCTCATGCATGTTTTAACGCCACATCAAGGTTGCAAGCCATGTGGCGTCGCGAGTTTTCGCGTGCAAAACGAATCGGATGCTTTAACGAAACGTTCGGCGGAATCGTGTCAGAGCACAATCTGAATCGTAAGGGATTCGTGTCGAATCCCAATTCTCTAGCCATCACAAAATAAGGCCGCAACACTATTGTGTTCGAGGTGAGTGTTTATTCCAGAGTCTGGATCAATCCACCGATAAACCTAAGTAGCAGTTTTGTAATCCCTCGGCGTGGTTTTTCTCTGAGGGAGGGTTCATGTTGTATGCTTGAACATGTGAATTGATCGTACGATAGGTTTAGGGGATTTTATAGAAGGCTGCTCTCCGCGGATGTGTTGCATTCTCAAGAGTTTGAATCCTCGGCTTGTTTACTGATTGTCTGTTTAAGACCGACATGAGACGCACGCGATAATCAGAAATACTTACTAAAATTACTATTCGTATATTTGATCGTTTGAAATAAGAAAGCTAAGAACAGCCATTAAAAAAAACCGTGTATATGTTGACAGTTAAGTCTTGGAGAATGAGTACAAATTTGCAAACATCAGTCGAGGTTACTGCTTCACTCATGCAAGTATTGACTTTCGAAGACATGAATACTTGAATACTACGTTCGTTTTATTTCCTTGTTTTCAAGCACAGTTCTTTACTGGCGGCTTTTGAGATAAGTTCTTTACAGGTATATTTTTATCGTTTGACAGGGTGTTAGATGCTAAATATATCTTGACAATTCCAGACAGATAAATCAGACACAGTTACATCTCAAATCATTATGAATAAATCACTTCTCTGAATATTTGTTGGCTCAAAGATGTACTCACAAACAAAACAAGAGAAATGTATTTCCAGTTTGCTACTTCCAGTTTGAACTGTTTTGTACATATTTAAGTTTAGAAATGGACAAAATCTTCGAGGTAATGCTCTGACATAACCAGGCTCTTTATAAGACAATCAAAATTCTAGTACCATGAAGACATTCATTGACAAGTAAAATGAAAAAGGGTTCCTTTCCCAGAAATTTACCATTTCTTTAGTTAAATTCTATTTTAAGTTCCTTATTCTTGAGTCAGAGGATTATTTTTAGCTTTTAGAAAAAAACTGTGAGAAAGATTTGCTTCTCTGACTGGGTACAACAGTTGCAGACAGATCCGCCAGACATCTCCATCATTGTTTAAGGACTGTATAACTTTAGCTCAGCTGTGAATTCTTACTAGTCTAAATGTTTTATGTTTTTCATATCACCTCCTTGAAGATGGAAGGAAATAGCCTTTTGATGTATGTCAAGAACGAGCTAATGTGCATTAAAGAGACGAAGACTAAATTAAGCATTGGATTTATTTTTCTTTCCAGGCTCATACATTAGCGGTTGTGATTCGAGTTTCGAGTATGGTGTTTGGGTGAGCTCGTTTTCAAATACCCTTTACCAAAATTCTCTTGAAAAAGCTCACTTACATGGCATTTAAAGGAAAATCGGTCGTAGAGAAAACATATTTAGCGTTTTTATGAGGGAACGTGATTCTATGGTACAATGGCGATGGATGTTTGATCAAAGCAACTGACAATGCCAACTTCAAAGCACTGATAAGACTCTCTTTTCTCCACCCGCTTAGGCCTGATCTTTTTGCTTTGCAAACCTCAATCGTGTGCCAAGAAGAAGCACAGTATCCTGCAACACATTCAGAGATATTTTTTAGTTTATTGGAGCCAAATTCATGAAACATAATATAAGCGAGGAAAGTTTTTGTTGAATGGACATGTTAGAATGATCATCAAACGCACATCTCGTTGCATGCAGGTATTTTAATTCCTCTTGCATCTTTTTTTGAAGTTACCGAATGTTTTGAGCGCATTTCCCTTCGATTGAAGGAGCTATCATTTTTTTGCAGGTGAAAACATAATGTTTTACACTTAAATGATGTTTTGGAACAATAGGGTGTCTGATGTTGAGTGCACATTCTGAACAATAAGATCATCAGTTTTAAGGTCGTTGAAGGACAATTGTTTGCAATGTCACCTCTCTATCTATATTCCATTTAGCTGAAGGAAAGAACACGTTGATTTTTCGTTTTATTTTGTTTTGTGTTTGAATAATTTGCAATTTCGACTTTACAAGGAGGGCGAAAATTTTTAATTTCTTAGCCCTATGTATTTCCACGGAGGAGGAGAGGTCTTGCTCAGGATTTAGTCTTCCTTTCATACATGACATCTGAAACATTGCAGAATCAAGCTGGAAACAAAATTTTTGTTGTTCTGATGCTTTTCCTTCTATGAAGATACCGATATGAATTAAATCTGGTTCTAACAAATATATACCATGGAGCAAATGTACTTAAGTGACATGAAGTAAACGTCTTTGGCAAGGTTTTAGGATTTCTTCGTCGATGGAGGCTTCCTATACAGCTCTGTTTAGACAAATCCATTCAAAAAGAGATATCTTGATGTGGTTACTCTTTTTGCAACCAAAGGTGGACCGAAAATCTCTGACAAGACCATGGAACAATGTCAAGATTTGATATAAGCGATCGAGAAAATGACACTTCATTTTGCCTGATTTCAACAGTCAATTGCTGAGAAACGAGAAGCGTCTACTATGAAAGAGAAAATGATAAATGATATTTAAAATTGTCTTGTTGGAGCTTCAAATCGTGCTTTAGCTTAACGAGTTTTAATACATCAGTGTTTATAGCAAGTGTATTCGTTCAGTGATGAAGACGTGTTGTCTTCTTACATGGCTTCTATAGGTAAGAGAGAGAGGGAGAGAGAGAGAGTGGCTATTCCAATCTAATTTTTCTTTCAGCCAGACAAAATATCAGGTAGCAACGCTTAGAGCTCAATTATACTGGAAGGAAAGCTAGACTGAATATGCTCTTCAATGTTTTTTGTTCCGAAATTGGTGTAGGAAGTTGTGGTATGATAGCCTTACGCTGCATTGATTCAACGACCCGTGTATGACAAACCTTGCTTTTTGCCGTTTTGTGTTCAGCATCGTCGAGAGATTTCAGACCAGAAATTCTTAATCAGGGCTCAGAGATGCTAAAAGTTCGAACGAAGAATGGCGATTGATATCTCTCAGCTTGAAATAAGCTCCACAAAAGATTTACGACGCTTTTGATGAACTATACTGAGAACAGTTGCATGTTGTTACAGATCTAGACGACTCCATACCACCGCACACCTGACGTTACGCATTTATATCCAATTCTTGCAAAGTGAAACCATGCACAAATGGAAAGTTCTCTAAAGAAAAGAAGTTTACCTTTCAAACCGCCAAACTCAATTAGCAAGGGGAGATTTTGTTCGAAGCAACACTGAGAAACGCCCCTAGACATAAGATACCATAATAATCATTCAAGTTTGCATATTCTTGCCTAATAAGGAAGGTTTTATATATTTCTTCAAAGCTTCAGGATCCAAGGCTGGTAAAGGAGGGTGATAAGGCGAAACTTTGTAGCAGAGTGTTCATGTTGCTCATGTAACTATGGTTAGTTTTCGGTTTTGAATATAGTTATATTTTTTCCACGTGGGTGACTGGTTCACTTCGGCGATGTATTCCTGTTGGAACCCCATGCTCAACTTTGAAGAAGACGTCTACAGCACAGGCTGAATACACAATTTATTCGTGCATCCTTTCAAGATCCTCCTCATCACATTTTTATTGAATCCAGCGAAGGTTTACGGAATCTGAATCAACCCACAGTCGACGAAATACTCAGCCCCAGTAATCGTTCAAATTGACGCTAATGAGCGAACACTTTGGTGAAGGCAATTTCGTGTATTGGCTGAAAATTCTTTTCTTTCAAAATCCTTTCTTTCTTTGAAGTACGCATTGGTTTTAAATTCTGAATGTAGATCTTCGCTTTATCACTTCTGCGAGTTTGCAGGGTTTTCAAAAGCAAACAACTTGGTGTCGAAGTCGACCTTGTTTTCGTGTTTTGGGGGAACGGAAGCCTCGCCCTCTGGGACGCCATATAACAAGACGATATGTTACTTAAAGACACAACTTTTAAGGCTTTCTGTAATGAAAAAGAGCACATCTAAAGCTAATACAAAAACTATCTTGAATGGTCTTTTTTTTTCTGTATTAGCAAACAGTGAAGACAAGCTTTCAAATGTCTAAGTCATGTTGACACCAGTTCATGTTGCAAGTTATAGAGTTCTCACCATAAATAGGAAATCGCGCTCACTAAGTTGTCGAGGGAAAAGCGCTCGAGAAAATCAAACCTATCAATCGATTAAGAATGATTTTTAATTAATAGCGGTAGGGAAACGACTTATTACAGTTCATAAAGCGGCAATGTAGATGTTTCACTCGTCGCGAAACAATATCCATGTCGTCTAGTCATGCAATAACTTAAAACTGACAGCACAGAAATCGTGAGAAGTTATCTCACACCATTACATCAAGTCGGCTTTCATAATGGACTTTCTTTCTAACAGCAATCTTTGAACACGAGATAGACTAGAGAGAACAAACATTGACTTTAGCAGAAGGCGGTGTACTGTGTGAAGAGATACGTAATACATATTAATATGCCCTGTACACACGTGGTCAAAATCTCTATTATTCATGCACTAATTTTCTTAATAAAGGCTGGCAATCACATTGTCAGTAAAGAAAACAATATAAGAAAACAGTCACAGAAGGTTTCAGCGGTTCACTTGAACCCGTAGATCCGAACTTGTGGGAATTTTTCACCACAGGTTCGTATTTATGGTCCACGTGTACTGCAATGAAGTAAACCTTTCTTCACTTTCAAACAACTGTTCGTTGTTGCAACATTAGTTTACACTGGACAATAGAAGTTGCACTTCGTTCGGAGACAAAGGAGAAAGTTGCAACACTACGATGTTTAACCACATTGAGTTTTACACAGATCATTTTAAGTGTTACTTTTTGCAGCTAGCTTTGTCTTCCTTTGACAGCGCTTTAAACCGTAGTCATGGCTTACAATAGGATGCACACTGTGAATCGCTTATCTGCAGCTGTTCTTTTGTTTAATTTAATGAATATGAATTATATTTTAATGTTCAATGGACTAAGTTTCTGCAGTTTACTCACGGGACGCACCGTCGCGCCCAATACCATGTTTTAGATAAGTCCTTGTTAGATTCCAACTGGACTAAGGCTCACAGTTCAGCTGGATAATTTATCGACAGTGAATACGTTTTTTACACATCTTTATATATTTCAAAGAAAATTCGTTAAGCATATTTTAAAAGTTAGCGAGCTACACGACTGATTTCTGGCATGCACTCTCCCTATAGGCAAGACTGCGTACGTCATTTATCTCCATAGCTAGCCCAGCAAACCCCAAATATAATTTCAATATATTCATGGCATAATAAGTCTTTCACCTCTAGTTATGTAAAGACCACAATTAGGCAAGTTTATTTTTACCAACGAAAAATCCAACCACGTTTTGTAGGCAGGTAGAGGTAGGCGTCTAAGAATAGTAGAACTCTTCTCTGTCACCAATTTTTACTTTGTATGTTGATGAATTCCAGAATAAAACACGAACAGACAGTAACTTGTTTTAAATGTTTTCTTCGTTTGGTTGGTGTGCAAACGCACCTAATTCTGTTATGTTGATTATAAACTGCAAGCCTTAGAGCCGGCGAGACAGGTCTGAAGCAATTACTTCGCAGTAACGTAATATTTAGATCACAGAAAATCGAAAAATCTTTCTGAATTTTGGACGGTAACTAAGTCTCCCAAAATTGTTCTCACACATTAGTTGTCTGTGGTTGTCAATTCTGTTTAGAAAAATGCCCCAAATAACCAACGTCTGTGTAGACTATAAAATACTGGATACTTTCCAACTGAGTCTTTAAATCTCACGGAAAGTAAGATTACAGATAAATGAGCGTATTTTTTGTGATTAAATTTATTCTATTGCTCATACAGTTCGCGTCGCTCCCTTAGCAAAATAATAGCTCTTTGATCTTGTTGTTATCTATTGCCATCAAACAATTACGCAAGGCTATGTCCCCATCTGTCGATAGTGTTTGAGTTTTTTTTTTTTTTTTTTTTTTTTTTCCCGTCAAGAAGTTTTTAATCAGGCTGAAAACAAAGGCGGCGAACTCATTAAGTATAGAGCCCCGATAATGTAGGGACTCGTTAATGACATTACGTCTGCGCGTATTGTCAAACAGGTTTTAGTGAAGAGAAACACAAAACAGACAAGAGACCAAGATATATAAATTTTATTAAGGAAGTTACATCTTCGTTACTCTCTTTGAAGCGTACATGAAAGCGGTTATAATGACGCTGTTATTTTGTAGGGGGAAATGGGAAATAGGGGAGGGGGGGTGGAAGGGAGAGTTCTTCTTCTCCAGAGAAATCATCTTGTAGTTAACTCATTTACATTGATGATACGTTCCTTTACCCCCTGTCAATTCAACCTTTTCCTTTTTCATCCCTACCTGTTCACCCCTTCATTCGCGACATCTAAACATGAATAACATGCAATGCGAAGAGAACTGAAACCGTTATGAAACACGCCGAGAATGCAAACATGTGGATATATTATGTTGCAACCCTGAATATGTTTTCCTGTTAGTTGATACAAAGCCAATTTTCAACGGTGACGGCAAAAATCCAACAAAAAGAGACAAAAAAACTGTCGCCTTCCGCACAGATTATTGCCTCAAAGTTTTGATCCTGACCGGAACCCAAAAATTGTCAAGAATGGTATTCAAGGGTACCATCAACAACAGACAAGGTCTTCAAGTTTGAAGTTCGTAAATTCAAGGTAAGTGTTCATGTATTACGCTAGAATTGAAATAATTGTTACCAAATATTTGCCCCACAGTCAAAAATAGACTTTTTTAACCTATATTTGGAAAGAAATGAAACCGGCTCGTTCGAATATCGCATGGGCATTTTAGAAGCAGACGTATATGCCAAGGAACTGAGGAGGAAAACAAGAATAACATTAAAAGTTTTAGACCCTCAGGATAAGGTGGCTAATTTAGGAAACAACAATAAAGGTTAAGTTCGATACTGCAACAATACCACGAGAAGAAAGGAGACATTGTTTGTAAAACAAAATAGTTAACGCAAGAGCCGAATTCCCAGACACAACAAATGTATTCGATTTCAAGTATCAAAATATCTGCTCCTAACGTCTGCTCACAACAATACAAGCTCGAGATTCCGCGCAAGTGTCAAATGAACAAAATTGCTTGTGGAGCAATGTTTGCGGGGACCGTGAGTTACGAGATTCAAGAGATTATCACTTTAATGCTTCCGATCCAATTAAATGCTCGGAAAAACATGCGAATGTAATATTAACCAATTAGAAGGCTTTATGTTAATAAGATCTATAGAGTTCTGGTGCCCCTGAGCGTAAAATTCAGAGTCAAAAGTCCTTGTGCATGTTTTCCAAAGCTTTCACTTGCCTTTGAAATGCATGTACAATTTGATTGTAAAGTAAATTTAAAAATCGTGCGAAAACATTGTTTATATTTTACCGTTAGGAGCACACGCCTGTCAAAGTACACGAAAACATACGTATAACTGGTTGGTAAAAGGTCAGTGATTGTTAAAATCTATCAGCAATTTCTACGATGTTAAGGAGCTTTTATGGACATCAGTTGCAGCATCAAAAGTAAAGTGATACCCGATATTTTTTTCGACTCGTGAATTATTATTTTTTTAACCACGGTAAAAGTCAGACTCCTCATTAACCCTACTTGAAAACATATCCTATTTGACGAGTGTTTAAAACGATCAGAGCAAAAGATCTTGGAATCTTGCTAACTGCCCCGTCGTGTGACCTGACTTATCCTTGTGAAAAACAAAAGAAAACAAAAGACAAAACGAAAAAGCAGATGGGTGTTTTCACCAAAGCTTGTTTTCCGTTTTCTTGAGATGCCTTCTTTATATTTTTATATTTCTTTTTATTTCTACATTTTCTGCCTTTAAAAGCACACACAACCCACAATTCCTCTATTCGCTCCGACGAAGGGCTAACGCTCGAAACGTCAGCTTTTGTAATCATTACGGTGGCCAATTTACCATTTCAACTTTGTTGATACATCCAAATTATTTCTTTATATTTCATTCGCCTTCCCCCCGTTCGAGAGTTTTTTGTTTTTAACTTTCAAAACACATTGGGAAAATGTTTGTATGGTTTCTAACATACCCAGACAAAACGATTTTTACGCAAGGAAAAGCTTGTAAATTTAACAAGATAAAGGTTTTAATTCAATCAAGATGAATCAATTACATCGACCTGAGAAAAGCCTAGCGCAGTAGCATAATGGGCAAATTAGATCTTCAGGTTAGAAATTAAGTGAACGGATCGAAAAGCGAAGCTTCCTGAACATTCTCTTCATTATAATTACGGATCGATTACTTGAAAATTGTCTAAGTATGATGATCTGCCGAGTGGGGGAAGTTAATATTTTGTTTAATCCCTTAGAGGTCGAGGTTAACCGAAACCATTATTCCGCCATTACGCCATTTTTCCGCATAAGGGCAATAAAGGTGCAAAATATGCGATCGCGATACTACACAATAGGACAGGGCAAAAATACGGACGGAAAGTGAAGCAACTGAATGGCCGCCACACAAAACGATACAACCTTTCATCTGTTTACAGCCTTTAATCTTGACTTTTTAACTACAAACCTCATAATGGACAGGCTTTCTTTATTGTTCGTCAGCAAGGACACTCACTTTCAAAGTGGTCTCGTTTTAGTTGTTTTCGTCTTTTGCCCGCACCTTATGCGCCCATTATGATCCTCGCATAATTCCGAGTTGAGGTGTATCTATTCGCTAAAAAATGAGGCGTAAAATTCTTTACATATACTTATAACCATCACAATTTAATAGAATGTGATTGGTGGATGGGCTACCTTTCTTCACTAATGACCGCGCACCTGTAATCGGCAGTTCATGCAGCCAATCGACAAAGTGTTAAAAGATTGACAGTTAAAAGCCATTATTTCATTGAGTACATAATTCTTCCACGGAAATTGTAAGTTATAATTGATTAGTGACAGGACTTCCTGTCGTCTAATCGGTCAGTAATCGTACTCGTGATAGCCAAGTCGGTCTTACGCTTCGCGCTCGTCTGATCTGATGATTCCCTCGTATGATTACAGACTCGCGATTACTATTACTAACAACTCATATGATTATCAGATCAAATGCACGTCCCTTTGCGTTTTCTGTAGAAACATGAAAAGCTCGCCGAAAGGCCATTTTACCCATCGGTTAAACATTGTCTGAATAAAAAAACTGAAGAATTTAGTTGACTCTTTCCCCACGGAAAAATCAAAAAAGAGCGTAAATTACGAGTACCGTTCAGTGACACAGGAGCGACGGGGGAAATTTTCTACTTTACTGTACATTCTGTACTATTAGTTCTCAAATTCGCGCTGATGATAACTATAAGGGGTATTGACTTTAAAGAAGTAGTTTTTTTGAAAATTTCTAGAGTGAACTTTCCGACTTTATACCCAAACACTGTTTAGAATATTCTCGTAGGTTATGTAATTATTATGCATTATTACACGACTCGGGCAGTCAGAGGGCCAAAAACTAAAATCAACCAATCAAAATGCTCTATTGCCGGTCAATATTCTCTCAGTATTGGACCGGGCACTGTCCCGAATGGTCCCGAATGATACTGCACTTGTGTTCCTTTGAACTTCAGTCGTATAATAAATCTCTTATTAACCAAGCTTGCTCGGGACCGTACTAGAAGAATATCGGCCCTCGGTCTTTTTTTGTACGGACCTCGCTGCGTTCGGTCCGTACTGTCAAGACCTCGGGCCAATATTTCCCACTGGTACGGCCCTTGGGCTTGATTAATAAGATATATATTTTACCTGCATAGTTGTGTTGTAGCCTTCTGGAATGTTCTAGAATGCGTTGTGCATGTCTAGAAGGACCCATCTAGGTCAGTAGAAGAGACGCTATTGTCGGTAGAGACTGGCTACTATATTGTGGTATCATGACTTGAAAGATTGCGGTGCATTTCGAGGAGATTTCAAAAGCAACAGTTAGTTTGTGTCCATGGCGCACTAAGTTATAGTCTGTAGTAGGCTTTGGTACGTGTTAAGAAGATTGTTTTGCCCAAAATTATGAATTAGGAAATTATGTTTAATAAAGCATATTTGGTTCTGGAGGAGTGTAGTTTTCTTTCTGCCGATTAAACCATACTGTAACGACCGTAACAACACCCAATTTCGCTCGAGAAGTTTGTTTTGATTCTATCAAGGGTGCCAGAGTCGGGTGAGCAGTGTCAAATTGGTCCAGTGCATGAAAAGAAAGTAATTTGAAATTTCGGGCAAGATGTTGTTAATGGACAATGTTTCTATGTCATCTTGCGGACCAATGTTGTTTATAATGGCTAATGTTTCAATGCCATCTGGCAGACTAACATTGAGAGTGGCATGAGAGAGAGTATCTTACTAACTGTAATCTCAAGTTGATTGTTTAATGGCAAAGGAACCCACAGGATTTATGAAGAGTTGATTTTTTCTCCCTTTTCATCTGAGGTTTAGATTGTCTGTGCCACTGGCAAGCTGGTAAACTGACTGGCTGTACAACTTTCCTGTCCCTTAGAAATGGAAGAACAGAAATTTAAACCAAGACATTGAGCCTCAATCTACATGATGTAGATCGAGGCGAGCACCGATGTCTAGTATAGGGCTTCTATTTCTATTGCTACTAAAATAATCATGCTATTGAGTCAGTTAGCCCGGTCGATCAGTCCTGTATGCTATTTGATCACTAGACAGACTGTTTTGGATATTTTTTGAGGATCTAGGATTTCAAAGGAAGGGGAAAGCGTGTTTCGGGAAGTTTTAACTAACACTAGGACACAGGATCTGGTAATTTTTATGGACTCGTGTAAGACAACATCAAGAAATATTGCTCCAAAGAACCTAGTACCGGGTAGTCCGGTGAAGAGACAAAAATAGTTCGCTTGATTTTTTTGGTTTTGTTGAAAGGCCCTCTGATGTTTTACAGATGCGACGCATCGATGTTCTATGAAAGTTTAATGATATATTACAATATTAAAACATTTCTATTTGTGGAAGATGTTGTAGCTATATTTACCTTCATAAGCAATGCCCTGCTTTGAATTTAATAAAAATGTCTTCTTTCTATGGGGTAAGATACTTAGAAGAATATCGAAGTAAGGACCATCCACATTTCGGGAAAATGTTCACTTGAAAGGAGAGATCGAAAGACACTATTGAAAACCCTTTCAACAGAGGACCACTCTTGCGGCAAACACTTACTTCAGACGCCCATAAACATGCAAAATGAACATACGTCAAATTCATAAAATCTCTTTTAATCGCTTAACCAAACCTCGTTCCAGTATGAAGTATTGCAATTAACGAGTAACTCTAAATTGTATTTTTAGAGCGTGAAACAAGAACAGGTTTGGATAAATAACAAACGCTCCACACCTGAACCTGCTTCTTACTACAGTTAAGGCAATCAAACTAGTTCTTTCCACTGGCCTCAACGCTATTTCTCCATTTTAAGTACTATTACTACCTCGACAGTAACCTGCGTGCCTGCTGTACAAAGAGTAGGAAGTAAAAAAAGTGAAATTCTACTTGTAACGTTGCAAAGTCGGACGGCATTAGGCCGCCGTGACCCTCGCCCACTTCTTCCCCTGTGTACATCGGTCATCCGACAAATGGCGTAAACAAGGCAACGCTGAAAGTGAGCTTTCGAACGTTTGCCGAGCAATTGTCGAACAACATAGATACTTGTTTATTCTCTCGTTTCCAAACTCTGTCTTTTGTGCCAGAGGCCACTAGTCAAGAACAGTAAAAATTATGAAAAGACAAGTTACGGAACCACACCAAACTCAAAAGTGTAAATAAAAAAAATGATATAGAACAAATAAAAATGTTTCAACTTGTATAAATATACATAAAAAGCCAAGAACAAAATCTTGAAAACATTTCTTTTGAACGCAAGAGTAGTAAATAGACACAGTCCATCAACATGAAAACGTTGCAATTTCCCGACACTTTTGTCTCGATTTATGACAATTATGTGCTGTGTTGTTTCCTGTCGTTATCTGGTTAAGATTTCTGTATTCTTAATTTTTTTATCAGTACAGCTTAATAATCTCATTTGGCAGGAAACACCTGGGCCTTATTTATCTACTTGTTAGTGTAGGGAAGTTACAAAGAATCCAATGATTTAATTCCACTCCAGTGTTCCTCTCTATTGCGCATGACTGACGAGTTTTGGTCATGCGCAGTCAGGATCCAGGTCTCTGGAATCAAGAATGCTACTAACTACATCATAATCAGGAAAGTAAAACGCACGTTCCTGAATGGGATTACAAAACTCGCACAACTCACGCACAAATTTCGCCTAGCATATGTAAACGAATTGTAGAATGTGATAACTGAAATGCTGTGGTTATAGATCTATCGCAAATTAAGTAATTTAGGCTACCCTAACACACACACACACACACACGCACAAGCACGCATGAACGCGTGTACAAACGCGCACATACACAAACACAAGCGTAGGATAAAACTGGTCGACAACAGTGGAAAAACGTGCGGCGTTCAAACGCAAACATTTTCAAAAGATAAATGCTAGAAGTACATATTGAAAAAAATAACATACAGTAATCCCATTCAAGCTTATATTCTGACGCTAGGAAAATCATTAGTGTTTTCGTGATGGCTTTCCACATTACATTGTTCTGCAAAATATACGTCTAGCACTTTACACAATACTTCGTTGAGACCTATTACTTGAAGAGGAATGGTATGGTTGCATTAAAATGTTCACTTCAAAATGAATAATTATAAACAAACCAAAACAAAAATCAAGAAAGGAATATCTGTTGCTGAGAGCCACTGAAGTGAGAAATACAACTTGTCGCTCAGGAGTTTCCGAGGCGTCGATTGGTCAATCGATAATAAAAATCCAATTAAGCGTGAGATTTTCCAACCTGCTCCTTATTCTTCTCGCCGACACTGGTTGCCATGCAAGTATCAGGGACTGGCGGCACTATGAGATTTTAACCGGTTTTACACACACTTATCACATACCCGATTGTAACATCCAAATAGCTTCAATCGTGAAAACAAGGCTTATGAGCTTCGCCAATACAATCCTCTGCCTTGGCTACTAAGTTTAGTTCACATAACGAATAGATTACACGGCAAGAAAAACACCCAACACTTCAATGAAAATAGATAGCTGTAATCGACCGAATTCGTCCAAAAAATCTGATGATTCCTCACTTAAATTATTCGGTTTTTCCGACGCATTTGGTTTTTTTTTTTTTTTTCACCTAGGTTGCCAATTTGTAGATTAACGAGAATCAACCCTTGATTATTCCTCACAGAGCCGCCACAGCCCCCAATGACTGGAAAATCACGCAAAACACGCCAACTTAGATTTAGTACAAATGTCAAACACTCTTGGTCGCGCAACTGGTGTCACGATCTTTGGGTGATTGTGGAAAGGCGAAAAAGGACAGAACCTTAATCGTACGCACGGAATACTATCAAAAGCATAATTAGCTAATAATTTGTCATACTAACTCCATAATGATACCTTACTTAATTACTCATTAAATTCTACAACCATAGATTCCTTACTATATTTCTATGGGTGGGCGATTAAAACAAATTAAACCATCCTATGTACAACCTTCTAAAATCACTTGAACCATCGCATTTATCTTACAACTATACACACCAAGTCTTTTAACTCAATAAATAAAAACATACCACACCACAAGTTCACACAATAATGAACGCATGTCAAACGCCATTTCGAATTGTAATCTTCCGAAGTTCGAGTTCCTCATTCGGAAACGAAGATCGGAGGGCCGAGTCTTAAGTCAATAATATTCAACATGGCGACCAACACGCAGCCAATAAATACCTTAAAGTGACCAATAGCAAAACAAGCAAAAATTCGAACGGGTCTTCTTTGAAAATAGCTATATACCTTAACGGTAAGAAAGCTCGGGTGAATACTGTTCTGAATTTGCTTTTGGTCTTCATGAAGCAAGTCCTGTCTCCACAGTTAAAACTTAGAGGGAAGTTAAATTACGTTCAGTAACACAAACATGAGAAGCACACACATATTTAACATGTGGACTCCAAGGTGCCACGCGTCTGTTCGGTTACAGTTCTCAAATGACATCAAAATGCGGTAAGAACAAATGAGTGGCGTAGCCGAGTGCGTCTCAGATAATCTTACCACATTTGACGTATTCTGTAACCTGTTATTGAACAGACCCACAGCAACATGCAATCTATATCTTCTATGTGATGAAAGAAGTAAAATGTTGTTAAATGCGACGTCATCTATGCGTCTCTCCTCCAATAACTGATCAGTAAGAACCAATCAAAATGCGTGTATAATTGAGCTTATCACATAGTACTGTGTCGATGTCCATATACTAAATCTCCGGTGAAATATGATTAATAACTTGTTCTGCATAGGTATGGGAATACCGTATCTCCTCGAATAAGCGCTCACGCTCTAATAAGCGCCCTGCCCCTGGGTCAAAATGTCAATCAAGCGCTCCTCCCTCCTCTCTCACTTTCTTAAATAGTAGGGATACAAGGAAAACCTGTTTCTATTACCACTGTATTCGTAACTTTTTTGGCTTCAACTACAACAGAATCGGTACAGATTGATAATTTCTAAACGAGCACACCCCGTGATCAAGCGCACTCCTTCACTACGCGACCCTCCTTTAAATATACAGCCCGGCGCTTGTACGGGGAAATACGGTACTTTCCTTAAGTGGCTAAATACTTTTTAAGAGTGGACAACGTATGGAAGTCCTGCAAGTATATGGCACTAAGTAACATACTTTATACTAAGTCAGTGTGTCCTATTTCTTTCCATTGGCATAGCTCTCCTTACACAAATTAAACGCAAGTCAACCGTGAACAACAGTTCAGCCAAACTACGAACATTTTCAGCCCTCATGACCACGTACTGCAAAAAAGAACGATTGACTATATTAACCTATACCGTCTTACTGCTAGCACTACATGGGAAACATATCAAACTCTTAAGCACACCTATGCGAATCATACATGTATACACCATCAAAGTAGGCGTTACCTTTCCAAAGCTAGTCATAGAATAAAATCACTGCCAAACAAGATTTGCTATATTTAACTAAAGCTTACTTGCTATTTCCTCCGCCACTTTTGTGCATGATCTTTTGTCGTACTTCTCGTATCTTGAGCTGCAGTGTTCCCTTTGTCTGGAAGAGATCTGTATGACGCTGCTGACAGATAGTTGTCACCGCATCAGACGGAAAGTAACCATGATCATGAAACAGCTGAAGAATCACGGCACGTCTTTGATCCACTGGCTTCTTGTGAGGAGAGAGAGTGGGACTGCCTGGTTCTGCCTTGTCTTCCCTATCAGCATCCTTCAGTCCATGTTCTAAGACGGCGACCTCTGCAAGCGCGTCAAGACTTGGCATACTCGTTGTCCGGAGACCTGCACCATGGACGCTTTCTTCTGATGAACTAACACCAGAAGACGACCTTTCCTGAGACATAGACGATTGACTGCCAGGATCATCAGCGTTCGGTGTATTCGATGACAAGACACCACGCTTGTTGTTTGTTAATCTTCCCTCCCGAGCTTGGCGATGGTAAGGTGAATACTCAGGAAGCTCCGCAAATTGCCTCTCAAAATTCACCTCAGATAAGACTCTGCAAAGTACACCAAAGGTTCGATATTGATGGATTTCAATGCAGGCAGAATTTGATCACTTTTTTGAGACAAGGCTTATGACCCAAAACCGACCCAAACGCTTTCACCATAAGCAACCGAAAAAGTAGTCTTACATAGAGGTACAAAAACTCCTACTTGCCCCGTCTAAAACACAGGGAGCATACTTCAACTAAAAGTTGGGAAAAACAAAGCTAGGCAATGTGAGATAATGAGAAGTTCGTTTTGTGTAACATCGCAGTTTAGCGATCAGTGCAATGGAAGAATAACAGTTGAAATAAACAGATTATTCTCTTAATGGGAACTTACTCCTCCATTCCGTCAGCTATAAACCTCTTAAGTATAGGTTTTCCAATTTGGTGGGTGGTCGGTGCATCATTCCTGTCAAGATTTGCTTGCCTTTCACAGTTGTCAGGCAGTGGCTTGCTTGGTTGTCTGAGACTGCTTGAGTGACCTGGTGCAGAGCTTATCTCATGGATACCTTCACCCCCTTTAGGAGACAGGAGGGATGCACAAGGTGACGGCCCCTTCGGAGACAGCGGGGCGGGTCGTGGTGGCACGTTACTGCTGCCAACATGAGCTTGTCGGGAAAAGGAGCCTAGTGGTGTCTTTGGTGGGTTTGGTAGAGGTGGCGTACTCGTATGTTGTTCAGCAGGGCTTATATTGCAATATCCCAACCCTCTATGGGAGGGACAACCTTGTTTTACATCCACCATTTTCCCTGCAGGGTGCCCAGCTGGCTTTTTGGCAAGTAGAACTCTCTGGGATGGTTTCTCACCACTGGGAGATGAAGCCAACAACGGAGGTGACAACATTGGTGCAATTGACTTAAGCTGAACGCCTTTGGCTACTGGTGAAAGAGCCAGTGTAGTTTTGGTATTTTTGTGGAATGGTGGAGAAGCGTGAGTGGCTACAGAGACTGTTAGGGGAGATAAGAAACTGGAATCTGAGGCACCTGCCCAAGCCACTTGAGTGGCCAGTGGAACAGAGGTAGATACACTACTGGCAGCATGTGATTGCTTTGTTTCATCTTCACCAATGACTGGAACCTTTTGTGCACTATCTATAACCTTGACGGTCTGATTTGTGCTTGGCACCAAACCAGCATGGCTGCTTCCTCTGTATGGTTTCACTTGTGATCCGTGCGCTGCATAACTTGTTGAAGGCAAATTTGTAGCAGGAGAATACTTAGTAAAGTTGCTTGGAAATAGGACAGGCTGTGAAAATGATGACTGAGATACGTCAGATGTGCTCACATCAACTTTGGAGGTACTCTCACTGGTATTTAGCACATTCTTGGAGCTTGCAGCACCACTGGAAGGCTGGCTTGGTCTAAAAACAGAACCAGTTGGCTGAAAATACCCACTGACTGTTAGACCTGGGGAGTAGCTCTTTGCCATCGGCAGCTTTGGGCGTACAAACTGACTGTTCTGCGATTTTGCAGTTTCAGTGGTTCTGTCCATACTTTTATTTGAATGAGGCAGCCCTTTAGGTGCCTTGAAACTGAAGTCCACTACTTTAGATGCCCCTTTGCCAGAAATGTCATGCGAGTGATTTTTAGATGCCATTTGTTCATAAATGTTCGGAGTAACGGCTCTTTTGGCAGGGAATTCAATAGGGGAATACCGGATCTTGCCAAGGTCTGGAGTCTGGCTTCGTCTTCCAGCAAAAGGTACTGGGGAGAACCTCTGCTGTGGAAACACCCTGTTGGTCAGCTCCTCTTCATCAGAGTCATCTGACTCTTTGTCGTTAACATCTATATTCTCATTGCACATCAGTTCCTCGGAGCCAATATCATCATCTTCCGATTCACTCATCCCATCGTTTGTCTGTTGTTCAAATGTGATGTTTTTGTTGTTTGACACTGAGGGCTTTGTTGATGGGTTGGTTTTATCGTCTAGTTCGGAGCACATCTGAAATGAATTGAAAGAACAATAGTTTTAGAAAAAGTCAATTAGCGTGATGTTTAAACTGCTGTTTGCTGTATTCAAACACCAGACAAGAACTTAAGGAATTAGAGATATTTGGTATCAAATATTAAACAATTTCAAGGCTTGTTTGTATCTTACGTAGAAAAAAAATTGGTTACATCATTGTCCCACTACCCAAAAGGAAACAAAAAATTTAAGGTAATCGTTTAATTCTTAAGATCAGATTGTAAATTCTCCCCTCTACCTGCTCAATATTTCCTTGTAAATTAGTTATAAGAATTTGGTGTTAGATCAAGATTACAACTTCTACTTGATAAGTTTGACTATTCTCATTACACATTTGGTGGACAATGTATGGGTGTTAAAGGAGAATTTACATGTTAGTCACCCATGGGAGTTAATAGGAAATATAGATGAACTAATGTTCATCCAGGCGTTACAGTACAGACTACCTGTGCAAGCTCAAAGAGTGAATGTTGCGTTGTTGAGACTGGCTGTGGCGTGTAGGGTCTATGTACAGCTTCCTTCAAACACGGATCCTGTTGATGTGCTGGTGTGCTCAATGAACGCTTACTTCTGAGCCTTGGTTTAGCTTCCACTGTTTCATCATTTTCACTGTCAAAAATACCCTGAAAAAGAATTCCCTCATTAACAACTGATTTAACTGATCTGTTTGAAATTCATAGTCAGAGAGGAGTCACAGAGGGCAAAGGTGACTAAAACAAACACCACTAATAACTATGACTGAGCCCTCTGTACCCTTGGATCGGTATGCATATTCTCCATACTGTTCTCTATACATCTCCTGAGGCATTGACAAGGAGAATTTGTTTAACAATCAAGAGTTTCTATAGTTGGTAATCATTTCCTTTATTCTTGTGACCTAAATGTTTAATTAAAGGAAAATATTGCAAGGAGAAATTAGATGCTAGTCACTCTTGGCAGATCAAAGGATCAAGCTGAGAAAATTTATTCCAAAAAGAAGGTCCATTTTAGGCTGTAAATGACCTCAATTAACTACCACCATAATCATTATTCAATGAGTTACAAATGAAATATTTATTTGTTCTTACCTCTTGTTCTTCGTTATTAGTAAATTCCACTCCATCTCCTCCTAATGTTAGAAAGAGGAAAATGTGCATTAAAAAATAACCTACATTGAATTGTGCAAAAGAAATTGAAGGAGACAATTGGCATCTCCTGTCAGTATTTCACTATACTTAAATGCCATTGCAAGAGAAGATGAAATTCTCAAAGCTTCAAAATTAAGAAAGCAGGTCCCTTGCTACTTGAAAAAAACTTATTGTCAGAGAAAACATTACATTGGTTATCAAGTAATTGTACCATACCCACAAAAAGTGCACTGAGAGAGTTAAATGACCTTGAAAATGACTTAAACCTTATCTACATGAAGTAGCACTCAGATTGCTACTTATTCTGAAATAGTTGACATAAATTTCAGCCATGCTTCCAAAACAAAATGTAGGAAAAATAGGAGGCAAAGGGTAGAAATAAAGGAGTTTAATCAGAATCAAGGAGGAGATGTAGGAGCTTTACAGGAGGATTTTGCACTCCATGTTGGCTCATCAACAGTTTAAAGTGTGTTCTTACATCATCCCTGACTACACACATTCTCAGTAATTTGTTAAAACAACATTAACAGTGTCAAAACTGCTTGTCGGTTGGAAGTCGCATGATAACTTTGCTGCATCAATAGTAAGATCATCAAGTGTAATCCGCCAAGTCAGTATGTAAGTCTGTTTGCATTAAGCAAACCAAGAAAACTCTCTTAAAACAAACATGTTCACCCTTAAAATAACTTGACTGGAAGTCCTCATTGTAACCATAAAGCAAATTTCTAGGAAACATAGGACGTGACGTTTTACCCAAATATAAGAGTTTTATAGATCGAGTCCTCTTAAACAAACAGGAAATGTAGGAGGGCTGGGAAGTATCAATTGAGCAGAATCAAAGGTATATTTCTTTGGGGACAGTTCATTCTGGGCTTACATGGTTGAAGATACACCCAAGTAAGTTACTCACATTCTGATAATGCATGATCAATAAAAAATAATTTTTGATTTTAGTGCTAAATTCACTCATGGGTAGACCTGTACATAAAAGTACAACAGTCTGTGAAGAGCGTTGACGTTATGTGTTGAATTCAGTACTTACCCACTGAATCACTTGACTCAGTTCTGTCTGAGACTTTGCGAGGAGACTTCTTTCTGTCTTTGGTACACCATTTCCAATCAGGATATGCCCTAAAATGCGCTTCTTTGACCTTAGGATAATAAATAGCAATAAAAAAAATAAATCATATTGTCAATAATCTATTAAGACTTTGGGGGAGATCTCTTGATTTGGAGCTGAGAGTGTGGAGGGGGGAGGGGGGAGGGGAAGAGGGATTGGCACATTTCATTGGTTAGCAAATGCAATAACCCACTAGGGATATTGAGAGAATTCTTGGAAAGTTTGTAAATCCCAAGCCCTAGGTGAGCAATTTACGAACCTTTTCTCATGTTCCCAAGTGGGTTATTTTAGGTGAGGGGGAGCTTATCAATTAACTCATTGCCGCTCAAGAACCAAGAGTAATTAGTTACCATTTCTCTGACAAAGCCCAGGTTCAAAGGAAACTGCATAACATTTTGCATTATAAAATACAGAGATACTAAAAATGTCCTGATTGGCCTAAAACCTATTGTTTACTGCACCAGTGTATCCAATAGAAAATTGTTTTCTTTTTAAGTTTATTTTATAAAAGCAATAGACCACAGTTTTTATCTGTTTACTGGCATCATCACCCACTATAGATGTTAAGAAAACAATCCAAAGCTTTGTAAGTGGGGCCAGCGATTTTAAAAAAAATTTATTTCATTCTTCCAGCATTCAGTGTGGGTTAATATGCCTGTAAACCAATAGATAGTACAGTCTACAGCTTGAGTGGCAAACTTAGAAAAAAGAAAAAAAAAACCCAACATGCAACTAGGTACAGTTCAGCATATTTGAGTAGTCAGACTCACCTGGGCTGCAAGATCCACATACTTCTGTTTGTCTTTAGCAGGAAGGTTGTACCACCATTCACCAAGAATTTTACTCACAGTCCTGTTATCTTGATGAGGGTGTTTCTGATGAACAAGAGCCCTGTGACGCTTGCTAAAGATCATAAAGGCATTCATTGGACGGCGGATGTGCTCCCTCTCTTGCTTGGCTTGATAACTGGGTGCCTTAAAATGCAATAAGACCAAATGTTAAATTGCCACAGTCCAATTGCTTAAGAAAGAAAGTTTTACCTTCTGTCAAATTGTTACATATACATGATGCAATCAAGTTTATTAATATTGGCTTAGTCGAACAGATACGTACAGTTCAGTAAACATCATCAACAGAATCCTCAATATTTCACATAAAATGAAGGAAGCTTACACAATTTTATGACCTTTTAAAGGAATGACAATCAATTGAAACTATAGCAAATTTTCTTTCCATTTTCATCAAGATTTTAGTAATATCAAACAAGACTAATGGTTGAAAGATGAGGACTTGAGTTGATGAAACGAGCAAACCCAGAAGAAAAGGGTGTATAACGTTGCAATTAATTGCTCCCACGCTCAAGCAAATAACAGGCCGGAAGAATATGTTTGATGACCAGCTATCAAATTACAGTAGGTGCAACATATTAAATAGTAAAAGGAAATTTTACACCAGACTTCTTAGGCAACCAAGTTACTTTTTAAAGTACTTTCAGAATTCAGTCAAGAAGACACTTAGGGTCTAATGTTTTATATAACCCTTCAAATAATTAATACATGTATTGTATCTATTCAAATGAAAATTCTAGAAAATCAAAAGAGCAAATCAAAGGAAATTGTATGAACCCAGTCAGTTTACAGAAACGAAGTATCATCCCTTTAAAATCATGGTGATTTTTGAACAATATGTTACATACTGAGTGCTTAAAATTGTACATTTTTTTCAAATACTACACTGTATCTTGTATTATTGTCATGCTACTTACAGGTATCTTGACAGGAGGTTTTCCTTCATCCTGAGAACTGAAGGATGCTGACCGTGTTCTCTTCCTTGTGTTTGGTCCACTAGTGACACATGTTTTGTTTTCCAACTTCCTGTCTCCTCCAATACCATGATTTGTCCCTTCACCTCCTACCAGTGACATACTTCCTGGGTTTTCACTTCTGTCCATTTTAGTCAGTTCAGTGGTGCTTTGTCCCCCATGTAATGAGATATTAACATCAGATGTTTCATTCTGCTGCAAGCTGTTCCCAGGTACATGGTAAAGTTGCGGTAACAAGCACTGCCAAGGATATACAGAAATCTGAATCGTATTCACTTGAACAGGAGGTAATTGCACTTTAGGAATGAACTCTGTTGATTCAGCTTGTGAACCTTTTGTGTATACATCCTGATCCTCCTTACATTGCAAATTCTTTTGCAATTGTACCTCAGTACCATCTTCCACAGTTTCCGTGGTAAGAGTTTTATCATCTTCAGTTTCCATTCTCTTTTCCTGGTCAGACTGACCTTTCTTGTTGGTATCTTGTGAAAAGGGGACAAAAGTACTGTTTGAAGCCACTGGCAGTGGCTGGGTAGGTATTGGGGAGTACATCACTCTCCCTGCCTTATCTCTGGGTGGCGTAATTGCTGATGGTGCTGGTAATGATACTGTCCTTTTGCCTGTTATTGCTGGTGGGGTACAGGGAATGGGGGAAAAAGAGTGATATGTACATGCTGGAGGAGAAATCGGAGAGAATGTTCTCTTTGTTGGAGTAATGGGTGAGAGTAATGGTAAAGGAGACATGAGGGATGATGTGTTACTAGCACGACTTCCGGACTCCTCACGACAGAGAATACCAGAGTCTGGACTAACTGCATTTGATAACGACAACCCACTTGGGAAGAATGGTGAAAGAAGCTCAGTACTTGAAGACCTTCCAGATCGTGGTGTAGTGGCTGTGGCCCAGGTTCTCACTGGTGTCACTGAACGATGCTGGCCTGGTGTTGTGCTGCGGTTGAAGCAGTTACCATATGGCAATGGAGATGGGGACTGACCTGGAACAGGTGAATTGGGTAAAGGTGTGGCTGGGTTAGAAAATGGCGTTGCACACCTTGAATTACTGAGTGAAACCAGTGAAAAAGCAGCTTCAGTTTCCTTATCATTTAAGTCTTTGTGGTGGCCATTTCCTTTGCCGGACACTTCTCCTTCCACACTTCCTTCACTTTCATTTCCAGACTCCCATGTAAGCTCTTTCCCATGCAATTTTCCTTTTTTCTGTCCAGGAATCCCAACCCCTTTTGACAATGATTTGCCTTTTAATGACAAATGACGAGAGCAATAACCTCTCCGTTGAGATTCCTTGTTGCATCCTTCCCTTGAACAAAGCCGTCTCCATTGTTTTCCATTAAATTTTTTGCGCACTCCATTCTCCATTTGAACAATGTCCCCCTTCTTATATTTCTGTTGAGTGGGAGTTGGTGTCCGAGAAACAATGTTTTCTGTACGGTTTACACTCACAGGCTGTCTTGGAGTTTTCTGACGGTTGTTAAATTTATCAAATCCACTTTCTATTTCCTCATCAGAAATGGCACTATCTGTATTTTCCTCTTCAAGCAAATCGTTTGCAACATTGTTGTTTTCTACAAAGGCTAAATGTCTAACAACAGTTGAAGAACTAACAGGATTAATGTTTCCATCAGAAACATTACTTCCACTTGGAATTCTCTTTAGACAATTTCCTTCCTCATAAGCCTTTCTCCTCTTCTGTGGTGATCTGGGTTTAAAATCTGAATCTTGTGACACAACAGCTGGCGTGGAGGTACATTTAGGAGGAACAAAGGGATCTCCGTCCATATTTCCGTTTCTGGTTCCCTTTTCATCTCGCGTGTACAAATCATGTGTTTCACATTGCGACTCGTGGTCAAGTTCTTTCGATAGATTTCGTTTGGCCAGATTTCTTGACAGTTGATTGTTTACATTGAAAATATCTTGATTATCACATTGAGCGATCTTTGTATCTTCTGAGGCAAAACCGTACTCATTTGATTTTTTCCCAAGGTTTCCACGGCGGACTCTCGTTTTCCGATTCATGTTCTCTGCAGGGCAACACATTTCGAAAGCGTTAACAATGAAAGCAAGAAAATTAACGGAATCGCTAAACAGATTTTACATAAAACAAAGTCAATTCGGTTCGATTTCATGAATATGCTTTACGGTGTTTCTTTCCTACAAAGTTCCAAAGATGGTAACATCAGCTATTTTGGCGTATCAAGAAATTAACAATCGAATAAAATCATCTAAGGTGAACGGAGAAACTGCCATTTTTAATCAAGAATGTTTCCAAATGCGGAAAACTCTCTGTAGTACACTAATTACAAATTCAAAGAAACTAAATTTGACAAACACGACATCACAGGACATGTACTTCCAAAAAATATTCGCTTTCGCTTGATCGTCGGCAAAATCAGCAGAATTCCATTCGAATGGATAATTCTCTTAACGAATCGAGCAAAACGACGACTAGAATTGAAGGTTTCAGGCCAAGCTGCGATTTTAACGGCATGACAGCAAAAAACAAGGGGACACAGGAGACATCTGAATATTGCATTTAGCATGAATATCCGCGATGCGATTCTTCATGGGATCGAACCCCACGGTCAACCAAAGATTTCGTGGTAAAGCTTTTTTACTTAGATTAAGATCAGTTTAAAACATCGGGGTTACATTGTACGCTGTACGATATAAAACACAGCGGCAAAAATCAGCTGCGATTTTTTCTTGCTAACCAGCTGACAAGCTTTCTGTCAGGGAGCCATAAATAGCATTTCGGCCGGATTACGATTTGGAGACGAATTAACCCAAAAACTCTTTAAACAGGCCCTTTACCTTCGTTTTCAGCTGTTAATTTCGATCAGTGCGTAACCTTGGCCGTCTGGTTCGTTACGGTTCGCAACACAATGGAGTTGCAATCATGAATGGAACAAAAATATCACTCAATGAGCCCAGACTTGTCCGCTTAACGTAGAATCACCAAGTAGTGTGTAGTAAAAAATTTCTGTTTACCTTTAGCGTTCAGATCTTCATCCACGGTCCTGCCAGATAAGGATATAATCGTGTTAGAAAATATGGAAATGAAAAAGGAAGCGAGAAAAATCTACACATCGAATACGTGTAGATGGTCCGAGTGAAGGCTGTAGAGAAAAAAATTTACGCATAGCACACTGGAGTAGCGGTGATGTCTAATATAACATCAAAACAACATTGCGGAGAAACTGTTGTGGAAAGCAAGATCGCACCGCTGTGATACAAACCCGGAATCACAATACAGAACGGGGAGAAGTAAATTCGAAGGAAAGCGGCCCCACTTCAATCGAACGATCGGTCTCGTGGAGAAACATTTCGAAAATAAACCGAGAAATTGCTTGTCTCTCTGTGAATGGAGCCGTTCTCGACGCTGATTGGCCACTAGGTAAATCATTCACGTGTGACAATTGTAAAAATCTAAACAACGCTTCTGACCAATAGACGCTGGGCAACGAATAAATGCATAGTGCATCTTTCTGCGCGAAAGTCCAGAGAATTCAGATTGCTACGTGATGACATGCAAAATCACTGACGAGAAAAAGTAATTTCCCCAAAATAAAAAAACAACCTATCCGAAAAGATATCAAAATTCGTAATGGCGGTAACATGCCTGCGCGAACTAACATCTAGCATCTTGGCAAATAAATACCGTAGTTGAAAATCATGAATTATTCTCGCAGTCAAACGGCTAAAAATTATCATATGGTAAGCCTGTCAACCAGAAAGGAGTTTTCGTTATTTCTTTTTTGTAAATCATCCCAGAAAACATGTTTCCTCTTGTTCCCGTTTACAAAGGACCTTTTCGTGACACTGAAAATTAGATTAATTCACCCCCTCCGGTCCATTTATAGTTCTCCCCCACAGAAAACAGAACTTAAAGTATACATGACGACGATTATCCTTTTCTACGGCATTCCGTGCGCTTGTCGTGGTTTCAGCACTATTTGCACGCTGTGAATATTTGAAACAAAAGGAAAATTGAAAGTGTATGTTTTATTTCCCGTCGAGAATCGTGTAAAGTTGAAGACTATGAATTCTCGAAATATCTTCGGTGTACAAAGAACAAATTCGGAATTAGATAAAGGCGAAAGTTCAGTCGAACAGGTTACGATGACATCGTGTTTTTTTTACAACGTTATAACGATAATAAATAATTCTGTTTACAACAATATCACCAAAAAATAAAGTCTTATGTTTGGAGTCAGGCGCGATAAATATAATCATTTCTGGAAAGAAAAAAGTAGATCGGTGTATATTTAAGTCTCTAAATATAGTTGTTTCTCGTCAAAATCTTAATTTGTTTGGCAATTGTCGCCTCCTTTAATTCTTAATGTTACGAAATGTTAAAAAATATCAGACATGGATAGAAACGGACAAAAATGTACTTACAGGGGCATGATTTACGGATGACTTTCCAGTTCCCTTCCTCTGAATCACAAGGCGATCACAAGATGGATGACGAACAGCTCAATTTCAGACATTGACCTAAATCACATGAGTAGTATTTCGTTTTGGCTCTTGAACTGTCAACTCCCTCCCAACTGATTAGATGCTTGAGATCTGAAATTGAATGTTGTTCAAACCACTACTGACTACTGGTCACACAGCGCTGAGACAGCGAGCTCTAGTTAAATTAGATATGAAGAAAGTGACGTGCGTAGAGCGAAAATGACTAATTTCTGTAAAGCTTGTTTATTCGCATTTGATTTTATTGTGAACGTAGTTCTGATAATAAAAATTCTGACAATAAAAAGCAGACATACGTACGAAATTTCAACAGCGTAGTTGAAAGCACTAGTATTTACGCGTTGTGAAGCTGAAGCTCTGGAAAACTCTTACTTTTCTATTGTCCAGAGGCAAAGCAGCGTTAGGCAAATTTCGGGTTAGTTTCGAAATTCACCTTACTGAACAACTGTATCAAACCAAAGGGAAAAAGATGTTTCTGGATCAAAATCACGTCGACCAACTGTTAGTTTACAAAGCAAGGACATTTCAACCCATACAAAAGCTACAAAATAACAATAATAATGAAAAAATACCTCACGAGGGTTGTATTAAGTCTCCGTTTGTCTCAGCAACCCTTCCGCTTCGGAAATATCCCTTTCTTTACTTCATACAAGCTACAGACTGTTGTCAGTGATGTCTATTCCAAGGGAACAGAAGAAAAGGAATTTGAATAAATTAGGCCTTACCTTGACCTACGAAAGCCAGTAAATGTTTGCTTTCAGCTGTCCTCGCCCGAAATGGCATGAATAAATTCTGTTAATTAAAGTGAAATCGCTTACTGATTTGTTAGTTACTACGTATTTTTTTTTTTTCTTTTTTCGTTTTTTATTTACAAAGTTCGCGATTTTGAAATAGGGGCATGCGTCTTGGCTTCGTCTTATAAGCTGTAATCCTATGAAAGTCATTTTGTTTGTTGCATAGGTCGATGTAATTTTAATCTTTAAAAGAAAAGGGAAAAAACACGTCGTCAATAATTAATGCAGCATGTTTAATATGCAAGATCAATATTGTGATGATGTAATTTAAACTTTAGGCGTTTTGTTTTTATACTCCTGTTTCTATAAAACTGAGCTGATTCCTCACATTCTTACGGCTGTGGGATACGCTCAGAAAACCGCGGTAGTTTTGTATTGTAATCAGGATTCTGTAAATTTGTCAAGCATGCTTTACGATTCGCAAGTATTTCGTTCGCTTGGAATTAAAGTCAATACGAGAAGATAACGTATTAAAAGGAAGTAGTCATAAACTCCGCTGACCAAATGAATCGGGTACTCAAGAACTACTGAAACAAATGTGTGGCTCCACTTCAGGATCTGGGGTCTTGCATTTTGCGACTCGGGTGACAAAAACCGCGTTCTTTATCACGGAGAATGGTACTGGTGGTGTTCCGTCCACAGAACAACACCGCAATTTCGTTGACGATTAATAATCCCGAGATTATCTTAAAACTGCACAAAAATTGACTGACAAGTAAGAACATTGCGGCCCTATATTGTTTTAAACATTCGGTGTACTTTGCGCCATACGGCTTAATTTTGCTATTCCAAATCCGGCTTACTCCCGCAAAACCAACAGAAACTAACCTGTATTAAGCTTAACAGAATGTAAGACCCGCCACAGAGAAAAGTTGCTTATGAACCCAAAATTGAAGTTTTGAATTGAGTTAATTCGGAGACAAACCTCTGTATGAAAAGCTAAATAGGTCACAAAAGAGGGACGTCTCAATGGGGTTGAGAGACTAGCAACAAAGGGTGAGAAATGTAATTGACTACCGACAAAACGACAAAAAAAATTATCGCTTAGCGACAAGTAAATACTAACCGAAAGCTGACATGGTCCAATATTATCGATATTTGCCGGTATTAAAAAAGAAGAGCATTCTAGTTGAGGAGGTAACCACTTTGAGTTTAAGATTCAGTGATTGTATCATTTCCTGTTATTAAACTTCCTTTATCCATTTTACTCATTAACTGAGATTTATCAACTACCGACAAAGATCGAAGATTTTAACCGACAAAGTAATACAACTCTAACCGACAACCTACGGGAGGACCCCCCCTCGGCCGCTATCATGTCACTAGTAATGGTGGTGTTTCCAGCTCATCGTCAAAAGCACAGATGGTAAAGAACAGTCACACGGTCGAGGCTCGATTGCTAACTTGCGTCGGAGTGTTTCTCCACGTGTTGCAAAGCAAACCAAGAGAAGAGAGCAAGTTTATCGGTTTTCCTCGTAATAAATAATAATAATAATAATAATAACGAATTTTTATACAGGATTGAAAACCCATCAGTGTGTAACACTGTTGTCCTTGGGGTCCTGTGTTCCCATATTCAAATAAAAGGCAGTCAACGACTTCATGTGCCTTCTACTGTATTGTTTTGTAGTAAAAATAAGCTCAATGTTATATAAATGCAGGGGGGTCAATGCCAAAATTTCGGTGACAAAAAGAAGACTTGGTTGGAACAGAGTTTGTGCATTGCAATTGGTCGATTGACAGTCCGGGGACAAGCAGGGCTCGACACTTACGGTAGCAACCTAGCCACAGACTAGTAGAAATTCAGTTTTGGATAATGATTTTTGATTTCCACAACCCAGTTTGGCTAGTAAACAAATAGAAATTGTTGTAACATCTAAGTTGTCACTAACCACTTGGCTATTAAGTTGAAAAGTTGGTGTCGAGCCCTGACAAGGCAGGGAATTAACGCAAACAGAATAGGTATTTAATGTGAATAAAAATGTATCTTTCAGCCACAAAATTTTCCTATGCTCTTCATACCTGGTGCAATATATACAGCTTGCCACTTCTCTCGAATTCGAAAGTAAGGGGTTCGTTATTCTTTTTTTTTTTTTATTATTTATTTTTTTTTTTATCTCTTATGATTCTCTTTCCCTTTCCCCTTTTCTTTTTCCTTTTCACCTTATCAATTTACATTCTTCCTCAAGAGATACGTTTTTCCCGTTCTAAACAGAACGTCACCACTCAGTTTATTGCGGTAATCGACGTTTAAGAGGCCAACTACCGAAGCGCAGCGTTTGTATTTCCTTTTCGTGTTTTTTGAAGTAAAGGGCTTTTTCTAGTTGGAGAGACAAAATCAAACGAGATCATTGTAAAAAAATGGATTTCAAACGTACCAACAAATATTGCTTACTTCTACTTGCAGAATAAAGAGCTTTTGACAAGGTATTTTTTACGTTCAAATTCGGATAACAAGCCGAAATGCAGAGTCGAGACTCAGAACAAACATCAAACTAAACTTGGTCAGTAGCTGGTGTCAGCTAGCTAAGACTGAAGAAGCGAAAGATAGAGTCAGTCACGGGAGAGGAAAAACAGAAGTAGAAAAAAGTTACTATTTTGCGATAGCTACTTTCAAATTCTGTCAAATTTCTCAAAATACCTTGCTATGGCTGTCCAAAATGTCACGCTTGTCAGATATGTGTGGTTCAAATATTAGGATACCGAGAAATAAAAACTACCGCCGCAAAAAATTTTTAACTGACATATTTCATCGAGCGTACAAATTTTGCCATTAACTTTTTTGTAATTTTTTCGAGGACATAAAAAATTTCATCATTTTCCAATTATGGCTTCAGCCAAGCATTTGTAGCTTTCTACGTCATAAACTATTGTACAAGTAGGTGTTCATTACTCTAGGAGTAATTACGTACAGGGCTCTTGAATGAATAAATAAATCAATGGTAAAACTAACAAGGGAAACTAGAGTAAATGTCAAAATTGATCCGATCATTCACTACAGTCATAACTGTATGACAGGATCGATTCCTGATTAAAAAAAAAAACCAACAAAAAAAAGAAAATAATGCATTGGCGTTGAAACCCCGATTTGTGGCGTTAAGAGGGTTCCTTGCATTTGAATGGTTACCCAGCAACTCACACACAGATTGTCACAAGTAAACCATGTTGATTTGCATATGTTATGGGAAGGAAAAAAGATGGCGACAGGATTACGATCTTGGCTGTTAGCGTTATGTGTAACGTTACTCCACGTGAAGAGAACGAGTTCCAAAATTGTAGATGGAACTATAGATATAAGAGAAGTAAGTGCAGTTAATTACAACAAGAAAACAGGATCTCAATTCAAGATTGAGGCGCGCGCATTCGAACGATTTGTGGGGTTTCGCTAATTGCTCCGTTTTCCATTGAATTTTTCTAGGATTGGACTTTTTTGACGAGATTTTGCTACAAAGATTCTGTAGGAGAACTCAAATATCACTTTGAATATCCAGAGGTAAGTTCTCATCGGATGAACTGTTTGAAATGTTTTGATCAGCATGCCACAAGTATCGTCGAAGTGTTATGGTTTGATGCCGCTAGCTGTTTCTCCTTATATTGTTTATTGTGATTGTCATGAGACTTACATGTTCATGCTCCAGCTTATGCGTTTTCTTTTTTCTTGCAGTCTTATGCTACACAGAATATTTTTCTTTATTTCGATACTCAGTGGCCAAATGTGTACCCTAAACCTGAGATGGTAAGCTTTTCGTAGTATTCACCTGAAAACATACGCTATAGTTAATGCGCATTTTCTCCTTCTTTTTCTCAAATTTAACTCATTATGTTGTCGAAGACTGGTGTTCTATTCATAATAAGTCACGAGAATGAGTGATTTTCATTTCCTCAGGGGTGTGTTAATAAAACAGGCAACTATTTTCTCGAACAAGTTTCACGTCAATCGCTTCCTAACATGCATGATATATCGTCAACCTTGATGGTCATTACGCAGCAGATTCATTTCATCGTTACATGCGGTTAGGATATTGGAAGGGTTATTTGTTGTTTGGTTGGCCTTGATTCTAATATTGTTCGAATTTGTAATGATATGCGTTATAAGATGGACTACAGGACAAAATTAATATCATGCACAATTATAACAGTTTCCTTATGTCTTTTTTTTTTGTGGTGAAAAGCATGTTTCTCTCCTTTGGTATTTGAGAGAAATACGATATTTCCTCTTTCAGAGCAGGAAGGGGGAAATAGAAAGCAGTATTTTGTGTTGTTGCTAGGCGAAAAATAATGAAAAGTGTATTAATTGACCTGTTAGTATTTTAAGAACATTGAGGAAACCAGCTAAAATCAACCAAATTTGGTAGAATTACCTTTGCAACTGTTTCAAGGTTTCATATAAACAGGTGTTTGTTTCCTTATTGAAAACAGGTCTCATGAAACTGGCCAAATATACTGAATTATGCTTTGCTGACTGACTGTGTCAAATAAACTTTGAGGAAAGTCATTTCTACTCTACAAATATGGCATAAAATGTAGCTAAAATATTGCATGTATAACCTTAAAAGGTGCTATAGCTGTTTGAACAGATCACTTTGTTTTCATTACGTATAATTTCATGGCCACCTTTAAACCACTCGGTTTGCAGTTTGCATAGAATGATAGGACACTCTTGTTACTCCAAACAAAATGCTTCTTTTCTTTCTGCTGGAGGAGTCTTGATTTGATAATTATTTTCTCTGGAAAGAACAGATGTGATATCATATTCTGTATAGCTGTCTTAATAATGTGTCTGTGAAACTTGAGCAATCCTGACATAGAGAAGTTAATTTGTGGTTTAAGCAAGACAAGCTCAGAATAACATGCCAAGTGATTCTATAAGCTCTGTAAAGGATGTGAACATGTTTGCTCCTGAGTTCTCATTTTTGTCTAAAGTAATTTTCTTCACTGTCTGCCATACAATTCTTGTGATGTTAGATCAGAGAATGTGGTTTTTAGATCAACTATTAATAAATCCCCTAATTGATAGTTTCCCTTTATTCTCATCACTTGTCTACTTGGTATTGTACAATTTGGTATTGTAAGGAGAAATTCTGTCATGGTTACTCACTGGAGTTAAAGGTTATGGGGGGACACATTAATAATCTGGTATACAAACATTTTGAGTTGAGCCAATGGACCATTCTACTGTCTTGTAAATCTAATTTACTTCGAGGTAACTGGTTACTGTACTGGTAACATTTTCTTCCCTTGCCATTGAATTATATTCACACAGAAGAAACTTTCAAGACACAGACTTTCACAAGTTTCAAAATGTTAATTCATAAGGAGTTATTTGTGACTCTTTGAGCAGAAAATTCAAAGCTGCAGCATCCTAAACAGACAATGTGTGAAGTAGAAGTGACAAAACAGTCTCAACAAATGCATTTTTAGTGAACAGAAAATAAGTTTTCAAATTGTGTTGGTTTTTCATAATTTAAAGATCAGACGAAACCTAAATGTAAAAAAGTCTGACATATTTAAGTTCACACAGTAATGAGATGGACAGTCAGACATAGTTTGATGTTACTCTGGTTTAAAAATGTAGTGAATGTAACTGAAATTACAATTTGTTGACCCCACATTTCAACACTCCTGTCTAGTGCCTTCATCAGGGGTGATCTGATCATTGCAACAAGACGCCCTTTTATATGCTCAGCATATAAAAGGGTCGTTTGTTGCAATGATAAGATCAATGATCTGTAATTTCGTTTACATACATTAAATCTCTAAACCAGAGTAGCATTAAACCATGTGAAAAAGTCTCTTTCATCTTTGGATGGTTGTCACAAGGGTGCATGGGCTGGTCGAGGAGACAAGACATTTCAAAATACTCAATCATGGTTTAAGTGTACAACTGGGCTCTATTTAATGCTTGACATCTCCCTTTTTTTTTTAATTTTGAAGCTGAGAGCAAAAAAAAGAACTGCCAAGGAATTATGATCTTTCCATTTGCCAACATCAATCACAATCAATAAGTAAACAATTACATGCAAAGCTGTCTTTTGATGTAGAGTATTAAAGGAGCTATTCAGGTCTTGTAACAAATTATATTATGCACAAATGTTAAAAAATTTCAAAATACTTCAAAATTGCCCAAGAAATGCAAAGTCTTAGCAGTACCTAGCCCAAACTTTTCTATATTGGAAACATGGGGACCCAGAATAAATTAGAGCTTCTAAAAAGTAAGAATAGGCATTAATGGCAATGGACAGCATTTAGTAATTACTCTATAATTTTCACAATTCTCTATAGATTAATAAATCTTGATATCTAAATAGAATTATAACATAGCTTGTAAATTTGTGCAATCAAATTCAATAGCAAGAACGTGCTTCAATTTTCCTTTGTGCACACTGGTGATGTCAGCAAACAAATGCCTTGCAAAAAAATTGTTTTCTTCTGAGTGACTTCAGCATTTTCATTAAAAAACAGGAAAAACTCTGCAAAAAGTCAAACTAGACGTGGCAACAAGCAAACAAGCCGATAAAGATCTGCCTACTTTTTCTTTGGGAATGGATTTTTTAACTCCCGAGAAAACTCAGAGAAAGGGAAAACAAAATAATCGACGGTTTCTAACTTCATTTCCATGCATGAATTCACCTGTCAGTTTTTGACCAATCTGAGACAAGATCATTGAAGCATGGCGAAATACTTTTCCGAACAAAATAAACGCATTGAAGCATAGGAGAGGGAATTTCTGCCCTTTATACGTAAACTACAGCATGGAAAATGTTATAAAACAATTGGTTCATACCTGAGCTGTGCYTTCATCCAGATATGAAGCACTTGGGAAGTTTGGAGAGGACTCAAGAAGCTAGAGTTGCTCTCGGCTCCCCCTCCAGCAACTCTTACTCATCTTTCGTGCTCTCCAAACTTCCTGTGTGCTTCATATCTCGATGAATGCATGCTGATGTATGAACCAATTGTTAATCTAATTTTGTTTTATCAAAATTTGTCATGTTATAACCTTTTCGCAGTAAATGTGATTGAAGCTCTGGGAAACAATTTTAATGTTATTGTTCGCTTTTCAAGACACTGTTGATAAATATCTTCAGTAGTTGCTGATTAATGAAAAGAAACCTTAATTGCAAGGCATTCAAAGGAATACTCCTTAAACATTTTGTTTTACAATGCAAGTAGTTTTTTGGCTTAATTTCTATGGGATTGTGTCAGTTCTTTGAACAAAGCTCAATGTATTATACTAAAATGTGATTTTCATGCATGGCTGTTATTTTGAATTATGTAAATTAAAACCCAATTGGTGACAACCTTTCAACCAGTGTGTAAAGTCTTCAGCTTTATAAAATTAATTAAATTGCCAAATTGTTATGAAAAATATTTAAAAAAAGAGAGGCCTATCTTGAATTGTAACCAATTTCACTTTCAATTTGGGAAAGTCTTGGTTCAATCACATGAGGAACCTCTTTCTTTTGCTTCTGTATTTTTCGTGTGTGAAACCAATATTAACAACCTGCCAACTGATAGGTTTTTGTACATGCAGTGCTCAGTGCCATTAGTAATTAGAGAAACAGGTGTCTATTTGCTGAACTGTTTTGAAGTTTTTACACCTCATATTATAAAGAGCTGGGAAAATAGTGCCTATAGATTTACTACTCTTCGGATGCCAGTATTCCGGAATGTACTTTTTTCCCTGTCAGCTAGAAATTAAGAATATTGGTGATGGATCTACATGAGAATAACCTTTGAAGCATAACAGCCAATCAGTAACAAAGTGGACCTACAAGGACATAATATCTAATACTCGGAAAACTAATGAGGATCCAAATGCACCAATGACAGTGGACCATCATAAAAAAAAAAAGGTGCTACAAGTAGCGCTACTTTAGACATTGTCGCATGAAGAAAGACTAGAAGTACTGCAGTCAAAATGTTGTGAACAATAAATGATTTATTCGCCTGTCTCTTACATCAAGAGACAACAATTAAATGTTCATTTAATATGTACAAAACCATTGCACAGAATGCCTGGACATCATCAATTATTCATCAGCACTGAAGTGGGAGATTTGAATGCAACTGCACCTTGAAAAGCCCAGAATAAGAGAAGAAAGGGCCAAACTAGCAAAGCAGTGTTGATAAAACTCGTTTTCCAATAGCCAAAAGCAATAAGTGAGAAACCCCAGAGCGGGTTTTTGAAGAGGACGGGTTTATCTTTAATTTAAGCTTAAAAATAGGAAGTTTGAGAAAGTGTAAGGACTATTTCTGAGCCTTTGAAAATGACTAAAACATTTTTAGTATAAAGGCCAATTTCAAAAGCAATTTTTTAAAAATTCAAACCGGCTTCCAAAAACCCAAGAAGGGGAAATGTAAAATGGAGCTTTCCTGAAACAGAATCCATTTTAACTTTGAAAATTAGTGAGCGAAAACCAATATTTCTCACGGCTTTAAAATTTCCTGTCGAAGTTGCTTTTGAAAATGGTGCGTTTTGAGTTCTACTTCATTGTTTTCAGCCCACGGTTGAATAACAATAGCTGTCAAACCAGACGATGGCCTATTCAAGAAAACCACTCATTTATAATAAAGACAATTTACCGCGTGTTTTAAAAATGATCTTAGTGCATCAGCTGATTTATACCACTTGACCAAGCCATGATGAATTATGAAAGCAAAATTAGTTCATAGAATCCCTGATTGACCCTATTCTTATACATGAAGTTCCACCTTTTCTTGAGGAAAGCAATCCAGTATAATTCATGTAATTCAAATGAGCGCTGAAGCTTCTTCGGCCTCCCACACAGTCAAGTAACGAATAAGACCTATTTCGGCAGTTGAACTAATCACTGTGTAAGTTCACTCTTAACACAGTGTGTGACTGTATTTCATTATGAAGAAACAAGTGTCAGAGTGACTTGAAGTGACCCATTACGTCCTTCCATTATGGACAAATATTGCAAGTGGTTTTTTCTGACGAAAATCAAATCCTAAACAGGAAATGATAGAACGAACGTGTTTGTTGAGTAAGATAGAGGAAGAGATGAAAATGTAACAAACGGTTTCAAAATCAAGCACTATTCTAGCTTGTAACACACGCATGTAATGTGTGACTTTTTTTCTAACAACGGCTTAAACAATAATTTTATGAGCTTTTGTTTTTTAGCTCCACCTTGAAAAGTTAATGAGCTAAACCAATATTCCCCGAGGAAGAATGCGCGCGTGATCTTTGACCAATGATAACCCTCTAAAATACGTTTCGCTGCTAATATTACAGATTTATAATTTTTTCGCTACTGCAAGTAAATGTCTCAAGAACAATAGGCATTCTGCAGGATGCCCTGATAAACATCAACACTTCCTGTAACTTTTAGAAGCCTTGCTGAAATTCATGATTGTTAACTTAGTAATTTAGGAACTTTTTCCTCTCTTTCCACAAATCAACTAGCAGGGGTTCTTTCTGTGTTTAATCCATTTTGATATTTAATAATTAATTCAGATATTAATTACATGTAAGTAACAAATTAATTAATAAGTCAATATTTACTGCCTAACTTCAGTCAGCAACCTTTCACAAGATTGGAAATTCTGTGATTTCTAGGGCTTCATCATTCTAAGTGGTAGTAACTTGTGAGTAGCCAAGCAGATGGTGTTTTGATCCCCTAATGTTATTTTCTGTAGTTAGTCAAGCATTTTAACCTTGCTGTGGACTTAAGTTTTGCAACTTTTACAATTATAATAGAAGTTTTGTATTGTTAAACTATTACTTTTTATTGATTATTGTAATCATTTAAACTGTGGTTGCACAAGTCTCTTGGGTCTTTTAGAGGGAGGGGTCAGTAGGGAGATTTTTTTTAAAAAACTTCCTTGCAGAAGATTATGCTTCAAGTCACTTTGAATAAGGCCAGTGAAAACTTTTAACATGTTTGTATTTTTGGCTTTTTCTCAGATTGATATATATCACAAGTTATGAGATGGACTAGCAGACTGTTGGACCTTTGGATAATGCAGTCTTCAGTGTTGTCAGTCTCTTGATCATCACTAACAATAAGATGTTTTTTCAACAGACTTGTTTAGATAAAGAAGACAAGGTTTACAGAGGGAATAACCAAGTTGTAAACCTCACAACCAGCTATGTGTGGTCTGGATGTGAAAAGAAACAACTGCTTAACAAAACTTATTTAGAGTGCATCGGTAAGAATAATACAGTAAAGCTAGCATCTGCAACAAAATCAGTTGACTTGTCACATCTACATTATCACTTTTAATTAAGGTGGCTGAACACAGTTTTCACGCACGCTTTTGCAATTCAGCGCATGCACAAGGATTGCAAAAAACAAACCTGCTGTCAACAGAGCTCTCTTTTTATTTACTCAACATGTACCTGCACTATCTGTGCTATTTTTCTCTATAGTTGGTGCAGTGCACAGAGGGCTTTAATCTTTTATTACAAAGATATGTTAGTAAAGTTAATGGTGCAAAGAACCCAGCAATTCTCAGCTCTTTCATTGTTACCGAAAGAAACCAGTTAAATGCAGCGCATGCATAGTAAGTTGAAAAATTGCGATTGAATGGAAAATTGCTTTCTCGGAAGTATGCCTATTTCTTGAGAACCACACATTAGAATTTCATGAAATTTGGCATAAAAATACTTTAGGAAATAAGTAGCTGGAGTATTAAAAAAAACTGATTTTAGACAAAGGAAATTGTAAAAAATCGAGTGAACCTTCAACAAGGGATAATCAAAGATCTCTCTGTTAAATTTTTAGCAAAATGGTGTTAACTTGTGAGTATCATTACAAGCTCGCTGCATGCAAATTATAAAGAAAATCTAAAGACTAGATTTTCCACAGAGAAACAAAACTGATTTTAATTGCCAATTTATGTCTATTCATGTCACCATGGCAATGGCACATACGTCAGCTTAACTATCGAAAAAGCAAAGTTTGTGTTGTTAACTTTCCTGCTGCCAATTTTGGCGACCAAGAGATCAAGGGTTTTAGAGAAAATGGTTAAAGAAACAAAGGTATCAAAAACTGTGTTCAGCCACCTTAAGGAAGAACAAACTATTTTAGAGATGGAATTTTAAATGAACCACATTTCACCATAACAACCTTTTTTTGGTATTCACTCCTACAACTTCATAGCCTTTAACACAGTGGAACATTGTTTAAAGGGTTTTTTTGGGGGGAGCAGGGGGGGAGGTTGTTCAAGGATTGGTCTAAGGGATGAAATTGGTGAGCTAGTTATTCCAAAATGTTGTGATATCAATGGCAGTGTACATGAACTATGTCAACCATTTTGTTGCAGATTGTAGATCTAAATCAAAATGCTTCTATGGAAAAGTGTGGGATAATCAGTAGTCCCAGTTGGATCAGCACAAAGAGTCACTTCAAGTGACAAGCATTTAATTTCTCCTCATATTTTCATCCCTGGATCACACATGAATGTCACGAGGGAATGATCACCAACTAAAGAAGTATTGAAAATTATTCTCTTGTGACCATGTGGTGGTTCATCGTAACAAATGACCAAAATGAGAAACAAAAGGAACCTAATACCTCAGGTTGAATTTTTATGCTCACTTTACTCACCACTTTTCAACCTCTTTTTTGTTAGGAGACCGGCGTTTTGTATCATCTCGTGAGAGATGGTGGTATATAGCTGTAAGCAACTGCAAGTCTACTAAGGTAGGAATTTTTGATTGATAGTGTTTATCAAAGACTCTCTACAGGCCCTCAATACATAGCTTTGTGGATGATCTTTGTTTTTTAGGGCTAGAAATACCTATTAAAATACTTTTAGAGAGGAATGACAGTCTATAATGTTCTGTTGTTTTACCTGGGATGTAGAATTGATGTAATATGTAAAAATAATTACCAGTATGTCTGCGAAATGAGGAAAAACCTCAAAAGCCAAAGTACACAATGACAGGATAAAATCTTGTTACATTTCGATAGATAAAATACCCATCACCGATAAATAACTGAATCGTAAAAGGATACTTTTTAAAAAAAAAAACTTTGATGATCCAAATGTAATGAGATTGATAAGATATTGAATTCTTTACAGGGACTACTCCTGAAGTACAGATTAGAAATGACAAATGGAGATACATTTTGGAGAAAGCATTTCTCTGCAGATGAACGATGTATGTACTTCCAGGATAGAGGATCGTTTAAAAGTTCATCATTTAAAATATTAATAATTGATCATTTTTATTACACTGAAGGGCATTACTGATCACTTCCATAACACTTAATAATTTAGTATTTTTCATGGTAACCAACATATTTGTTACATGACACATACATACACTGGACTAACTGTTGACAGTTTTAACTTGTTTTCCTTTCCATTTCTTTTTCAGACATTCTTCCCATGGACATAGCATTTTTTATTATATTTAGTATACTGTGGCTTCTTGGCATCCATATAGCAAGTAAGAATCGGTCATGAAGTTATTAATTTACCAGGTTATATTTAACAATTATTCGCCGAAGGCGAGGTGAATATCATTGAATAATTCCCGAGACGAAGTCGAGGGGATCATTCAACAATATTCGCTAAACCTGAGGCGAATAATTGTTTTCGTATAATTTCAGAGCTGAACAACAGAGAAATTTCTAAAATCATAACATTTTGGTAACATTTATTAACATTTTAGTTTAACATTAATTTCTATATAAACTGCGCGGAGCGGTTTATATAGCGTCATATAAGGAACCGCTCGACCAATCAGATTGCTGGAAACTCTTTGTTCAGCTCTGAAATTATACTAAGTTAGCATAATCACTACCTCAAATCATTACTTTCAAGTACATTTTAGGTTTACGTCTCGAAATATTGTTGCAATACTGATGGTTATATCCTGGAAATCTTTTTGTTTTTTGTTCTAAATTATTCAGCGAATCGAAATATGGCATCCAATTTGAATTACCATTGTTTTGGACTTACTAGCCTCGTCTTGACATGGAAACAAAAAAGGATTATCACATCTGTGAGAGGCTAGTCAGTCCAGAACAATGGCAATTCAAATTGGACGCCATATTTTGATTCGGTAAATTGTAATTATTGTTTTGCATTTAATTAAAGTGATAGTAGAGAGCTTTCTGCTCTAGTTTGTTTAATGTCAGCAGCCAATTGAAGCAAATAAATTATAACAATTATAAGAACCACGAAGAATTGAAAGTTAAAACAAACAAACAACCTGAAGCATGGAAAAAAGCACATGAACCAGCTGAGCTTGGTTTTAGTTTTGCATCTGATTGGTGCAAGTTTTCTGGGTCAATTACAAAGTGTAGGAAAGCAAAACCAGTGCCAATATATATTTGATATGAAAAAATAATACTCTAACTTACTTATAACTAGATACAATTCCAATTATTTGATTTATAATTCCTTTGCACTGCAGGTCAACTAACGTCTCGAAGATTATTTCACTTCTCATACAAACTATATTTGTGTTCCATGACATTTGAAGGTAATAAAAGTTTTAAAGTTGTCATAGACAACACAGTTAGTTACTAGACAAGTTAACTCTCTTTTCACATGTTAGTTTTTCCGTAAGAATCTTTCTTTCAAATGTACATCCAGGGTTCTGTTCAATCATTGAAGGTAGGCAATTACATGGAAGCTTGCCCTGTTAGCAATGGGCTGCCCAAGATTTCTTAAAACTGGGAAAAATCCCAGCAAACTCTTGAACAGTAGTTATTAATGGTTCATGTATTCCAAAATTTTTTTGTATGCATTTATTTAGTTAATTTACAGTGATGATTTTAAGTAACTGAATAATTGTCTTGTTTGCAGTTCTTAGCTTGATGTTCTACCTGATATATTATATCGAGTTTGGAAAAAAAGGAATTGAAAAGTATGGAATTTCAGTTGTAGGTTAGTGAATTGTGTTTTGTGTAGACATTTGAAAGTTTGCTCAGTCTAAGTTAAAAGTCAAAATAATGAGAATCTTTGAAAATATAAATATATATATATATATATTTTTTTTATAGCGGTTATAAATTAATGACAGGAAGATTGTTTCACCATTACTCTTAGTTTTACGCAGCTTGCGCTGCGATTGTCAGACAGTTTATTATCGATGGAAAACATACCGTGCTATAAAGTCAATTTATAAATAGAATCATAGTTAAAATAATAGGAAGCAATTAAGAAGTCAAAAGGAGTTTTATAACCGCTATTGAAACACTCTGCAACCTGCATCGAGCACTTTTTCACAGCCACGACCTCTCCTAGTCTGTTTATATTTATATATATATAAGAAGTAGCATACATACACAATATATATATATATAGTATATATATAGTATATATATATACAGTATATATACACAATATATGTACACAATATATATAATTATATATAGAGAGAGTAGCGAATAAATGACCAAATTGATAACCAACTCTTGGATTATATATATATATATATTTATAAATTCTTGAACTTGATTTGAATGTATTTCAAAGAGTGCTCAACTCTTAGAGGAGCATTGATAATTATAACAAACTCGTTCAAGACTTCAGAGGTAGTTCATCGTTTTATTACGACAGCTCTGTTTCGTATGGTCAAAAATATTTTGGAGCAGATGCTTTTTATGAAAACAACTAAGATTCCTGAGTCGCCCAGGAACAAAAGTAAGGCGTCAGGGGCCACCAGGTGCTGCTAGACCACAGCCCTGTATCAAATAATAATTATATATATATATATATATATATATATAGGAAGTCTTCAAGTCGATTTTCGCGTGGAACAGTGCTCAATACGTTGAAGCAGAGCAGAATAAATATTGTGAGAGGAAAAATATTGTGAGAGGAAAAATGTAGTTACGTCCTTTTTTCCTCTCACAATATTTATATATATATATATATATATATATGAATAAATGCTGATAGTTTTGAAAGAAACTGTTTGGGGCTGCATCGGTGGGAGTAACAAAATAATTTGGATACATCAACAAAGTTGAAATGGTAAATTGGCCACCGTAACTGTTACAAAAACTGGCGTTTCGAGCGTTAGCCCTTTGTCGGAGCGAAGGCTAACGCTCTGACAAAGGGCTAATGCTCCGACGAAGGGCTAACACTCGAAACGTCAGCTTTTGCAACAGTTACAGTGGCCAATTTACCATTTCAACTTTGTTGATATATCCAATATATATATATATATATACACACATTATTTGTTTATTAATTACACATAACACGAGAATTTTACTCCATAAAGTTCATTTGTAGAAATCTATACCTATACAGCCAATCAGAATGGCGCACAGCTCTTTCACATGTCAAAGTATAACCAATCAAATTGCTCAAAAGAATTACACAGGTGCTTGCTTGCTTGTGCTTGCAAAATTTTTGCATCTGCTTGCATGCTCGTATTCTCAATTTAAAAGTGCTCACAAAATTTGGCCTTTGCTTGAATTGCTTTATTGATACATCGTACTTAGATCTAAAAAAAAACTTTAATTTGTAAGTGCAGTTTTCCATTCAGCACTTTATTCCCTTGATGTACATGTACTGCGATATTTTCCATTGCCATTTAATTTGCATTGTTAGTGAGTTTTTGTTTCTAATTTGGGTTCAGAAAATTTGCGTTTTTGTTTCTAATTTGCATTGTTAGTGAGTTTTTTTTCTAATTTTTGTTCAGAAAATTATTTCAATGAAAATTCTCGTGTTATGTGCAATAAACAGCTCACAACATAGAAAGTGCTTTGTATGGGGTTTTATTCACTTGTAGTTTGTTTCAAAAGCCCTCACTCACTTGTACCTTGCTCGTTTGGGTTTTTGACACAAAAAACTAGTGAATAAAACTCCATATGCCTCACTTTCTATGACATAACTATATATATGTTTATCTTTGAAAATATAGGTACATTTACTGAAATTTACAAAATAACAAAAGTATCATTGAAAATGGATTAATATTATTTTTTAGCCCTTGCTGTACCGCCTCCTGGTTAGCTCCTTTGGTTAGAGCGCTGGATTGTGTTGTGCGGGAGGTCGAGGGTTCGAGCCCCGGCCGGACCAATACTCATGGTCTTAAAATAACTGAGGAGAATTTGCTACCTTTCTATAACATCAATGAAATGGTTAGATATTCTAGTCTTCTCGGATAAGGACGAATAAATGGAGGTCCCGTCTCCTGCAGGGTTAGGGGTAGGAGACGTTAATTTCCCACACACGAGATTACTGTGTGATGGATGTCCTCCCCTGGGGTGGGATGTGTGGGGGAAAAGGTGAGGTCGTTACATGGACTAAAGCGGCTGCCAGAGGCGCCTGATAATGCTGACGTCCGATCTCAACCTTAGTAACACTGTAGACCTTGGCAATTCAGCCTATGCTGCTATTAAGGTATCGAATCATTCACTTTCACTTTCACTTTCACTTTCACTTTCACTTTCACTTTCACTTTCACTGTATGCGGGCACTAAGATTATCTTAATATGCTTCGTTCTAAGTCTAGAAGTAATTAGTACACTGCAGTCTTTTCTTCTTGACTAGAAAAAAAGATTTGTATGTGTAATAGGACCAGTGGACATGCTGTCCAATTTGGAAATAGTCAGATAAAAAAATTCTGAGGTCAGCCAAATTGCATCCAGTTATTTCCAAAATTGGACAAGCAAGTAGTCTTCTTACCTATTTATTATAATTATTGCGAGTCAGTTGTAATTGGGCATTGCTCAGTCAAGCTATTATTCTTCAATTTTTTTAAACTGTCATATTAAGGGTTTGGATAGTTTGAATCTAACCAAATTAATCCTGAATTGAACAAAATAATTTAAAAAATTAAAGAAAAATAGCTTTGGTGACCATTTCAGTTTAACTACCAGCTATACAATTAAAAAAAAAAGGAACAGCACAGGAGTTGATTTAATGAAGATTGAATTGTAAATGAAAATATAATTATAATCTGTTGATTTAAAATTTTTTTTCAATCTCAGGGCGTGCCTGTCACTACATTTCTCATGTTGTATTCCTAATAATGCTTATTTTGATGGCTAAGGGATGGACAGTGACAAGGTATGGCTAAAGTACATTACCTTAAAAAAATGGTGTTAAATTGAGTTACTTAGCTAAACAGTCTTCCGATTTAAATTTTATCATGGGACCATTTGGCTACCAATTAAGGTAAATTAGGTAAATTTTCAGGTGCCAAAGCATTTAAGTTGAACTATTGTTGGAAATAAAAGACCAGTTGATAGGTAAAACCATGGTTGAAAAGAAAACAGAAAGGGGTGACCACATCATGTGAAATTTAACTTTGTATCTGTATCCCATAGACAAAGTTAGCAGAAGGAGTATCTTTCTAAGAAAGTGAATGTAACTGACCTCACTGGACTGAATCATTTGTTTGCAGAGGACGTATCAGTTCTTCTGGTCAGATCAAGCTCAGTATCTTTGGTACAGTGTACACAGTGTGTTTTGCCGTCCTTTTCTTCTATGAAGCTGCTGTAAGTGGAATGGAATGAAATGAAATGAGTTGCAATTATATCTCCTGTAAATTTTGATTTTAGGACTATAAGTATGTAGTGGTTTATCAAATGGTACAGGTAATAGTTGTGATAAGGAAAGGTATCAAAATGTATGTTAAAATTGCAGAAGAGTACAATTATTGTCACAGCTGTATTCTTGTTCCAGAGTTACCAATATTTTACCAAATTGAATATTTTCTTTGGGGGAGAGAGAGAGAGAGAGAACCAACACTCAACATACCTCAGCCTGCATTACAAAAAAGAAGAATGCAGAGTTCAATATGTAATTATACACTCAGGATCAGAAATTTTCATGGGGTTTGCCCATCTAACCCAACACACCCCACCACCAACCTTTTTAAAGGATAAATGTAATGCCTCTTAAGATATAGAGGTTTTGATTTCTACTTGTTATTACTGTTCAATATCTTTTAGCAGGGTGAGAAATGATCATTGAAAGATTTGATAAAATATTTGTAAGGTTACAATTAAATAAGAGTATAACTTTTCTTATGACAACTATGTGTTGGAATTTAAGGTGTTTGATCCTGGTGAGGTCCTCTATATCTATGAGAGCCCTGCTGGTATTGGAATTTGTGTTCTGAGAGTCATAGTAAGTATATTTGTCATGTTAAGTATATTTGTCATGTTACAGAGCTGGCCTCAAATAGGCAATTCCTCTTTTACTCCTCATTAATTGTAATATTGTAATAATTGTAATATTTGGGGCAAGAACTTAATGGTTAGGTTAGGTGCTGAATTTCCTCTGGATCGTAGCCATTGCATGACTGTCATTATGTGCTTGCTTTTAGTTGATTATACACAAAGGAAATTACTGGTAGTTAATTGGGTTAAGCATGTGGCATAGTAAATTGTTACGCAAAGAGAAAGTTGTTACAACTAATTGATGAAATAAGAAACAAATTTAAGCAGTGAATTATAAAATCAAAGGTGATTATTACCATTAATAATGATGATAAATTACTTTCAGGCTTGGTTGTGGTTCTGTTACGGAACCTTCTTTACACTGAAGCACTATCCAAACAAAAGCAATTTTTACTACCCATTCTGGCTAATCTACACAGCGTGGTAAGTTGGGAAGAGTGTTCAATCACTAAGAAATGCATAATTTATTTTTGCTAGCAAGCCCTAGCAAGGCAGCAGCCTATTCTTTACAGTAGTAAGAAAAAGCCAAAATTTGTCGGATGTAAGATTGGAGACATTGTGCAGTTGATTGCGTTTTCTATATCCAGAGTGCTTGTGGTGACATTGTGTAAAATGCAAGTGGAAATATTGATCGATTTCAAGCAATGCCCACTGAGGTAAATAATTCGACCATTGAGTTACACTTGCCTGTTGAGGCAAAAGAAAAGTATGCAATCATTACTCGTTGTAGCTAATCATTCAACAAAGAGTGGATCACTTGTTAAAGCTAACCATTCAACTGCAAACTCAAATGACTGTTTGGGCTTTGAGACAAATTCTAAATCGATTTCATCCATGGATAGCATCCATTCGACTGTTGCATTCAATTGTTTTTCAACCTTTGAGTCAAAAGAAACTTTCTTCTCAAGCACAACGTTAAGTTGTTGTTTGCTCAATGACATTGAACATTCCTCAACATGTGTTGGTCTTGCCAAAAGGTAGTTTGCGTGTTTTGAAGGACAAAAGCTTGATTGTGATATTTACAGCATAAAATATGGAGAGCACTGACAAAGGTTGATCAATGCAAATGACACCCTTTATCCTTGCCTTTCCTTTTGTTCAGCACTGATGAATACTTGAAATCATGCACATCTTACAAGCAGGCAATTGTCATAATTTTTTAGAAATGTCACTTTCACTATTTTAAGTGAATCAAATGGTCCATTTTATACTTTTGACCCTCGTGCTAGAAACAGTGATGGCATGCTAAATTCACAGCAACTGTATTAAAATTTGGAGATTTGGGTGAACTTTGAACAAAGGAAAATAAAATTTGAACCAAGTATAAAATTGAACTGCAACATATATTTCGATATTCAGCGATTTTTTTCCGTCTTTTTGTTTGTTTGTTTTTTGTTAAAAATAGAATTGCTGTATGTAAGTTCAGCTTTGAAGTAAACTCAACTTAACAAAAGAGTCTAATGTTCCAGGTTTGGGTCATTTGGCATCTGAGTTGGCCCTACATATTGTGGTTAAATTAGGAGAATGGTCACTATAGCAACCCTTCATATCATGTCAAATGAATGAAATCATTGTGTTAGAAAGCAACATGTCCCAAGTGCTACATATTTATATAAGATTCCACCACTGACACCTGCTTTTCAGTCCTTCTTCCTCTTCCAGATTACAATTTGTTTCTCACCCACAAATAAATTTACTCCTCACAGGTTCCTTGCGGGGCCAATCATGGTTGTTATTTCAGCGTATAGAATACCAAAGTGGGAGAGGTGAGGATGCAGAGTCAGATCATATCATTATACCTTTTTTTGTCTTCCTACCTATTTTAATTGTTAACCGATGGACTGTTAGATCTCAATCATATATTTAAAGGATAATCACAAATTAATATTCAGTAATATAGAAGTAGGTGTGGGTGTGAAAGAGTTTGAAAATGCGATTCTTTTTTCCTGTACATGAGAGGTGAAATTTTAAGCATTGGTCTGTATTTGAGAAAAATGTAAAATTGTCCCCGCAGAGAAAAAATGTTCATGTTTAATAATTAAACCATTTTTTTTTTTCAGAGCTCAAATCGTCAATGGAATTGATTGGTGCATCTCTATTCTGGCACATGCAGTTTTCTTGGTAAGGAATCAATCCATAATGTTTTGATTGTCCTACAACACCTGTTAATTTGTTTAATTGAACAACATTTGAAACATCTCAAAATTAATAACTGATCAAAAACAAATTAAATTAAGTAAAAGGACAAAGCATTTCTAACTATTAAGGATTTATGTTTTTTTTTTGTTTTTTGTGACGAACATGATGGTAAATGACAAATATTGTTGCCCACAATTTACTAAACCTTTTACACCCTAACATCAGTATGCATATTCTCCATACTGTCCTCTATACATTTCCTAATGTGCAGACAAGGAGAATTTGTTTAACAATGAAGAGCTTCTTAGTTGGTGATCATTACTTTTGTTCTCATATGGCCTCAAATGTCTGATTCAGGGATGATATTGTAAGGAGAAATTAAGTCACTCTAAAGGGGTTAAGGAAGATGATGTTATTTCTAGAGGCTTCCCCAGTCTTTAACTGCATTCTTATTCTTACAGGTCATTACCAGACCTTCTGCAGCAAATTCAAATTTCCCATTTCACATGAGAACCAACCAGGTAAGAATGACATATGAATGATGTGAATAATTAACCACAATAGCCTCAGGCTAGTACTCTTGAATTTGTGAGTTTATGTGGTACTGGTCAGGAATGAACTACACAAGTCAATGTCAACTTCTTTACCATTGGCTTACTGAATGCACATTTGTATATACATACACAGATATACTACTGTTGGTTCAAGTGTAGTTAAGTTCGAATGATTTTTAGGTTGATGGGCTCACTTTCCATTTCTGTAAAACTAATTTTTCTTATTCTTTTATAATTACTTAACCACACAGCATTTTATATATTGACATTTGGGTATTTGCACCCTGAGTGGCAGTGTGTTTTTTTGAAAAAACAAGACTTTTTGTTTTGCTAGCGAGGATTAACTAACCACGTTTCTAAACAACTCCATTTATTACACTGGTAGCTTTCTGTCAGTCACTGTACTTTTCACAAGGGAGGTTGAATATAGTTCAAAATCTAAATATTACAGCAAATTGTGTTAGTGATATAATAAACAGTTATCCATTACAATCAAACAAAGATATTTACCCAGTGGTATCTCGCAGTTTCTCACAATTCCTCATACTAGCAAATGACTCAAGTTGCATAATCATGTCTATGACATCACCTAACAAATTCTGATTACAAATTGTTGGCGATACACTTTTAAAAGTATACCCAAGTCAGTGCAATCTTGCTCTCAAAACACAGTGGAAGAACACTCCAGAACTTTTGTTTCGATAGAGTCATTGCTACTATGCCTGCGGTAAGAGAACACAGTTACAGATTCTATGAACAAGACTTTGTTTATCGCTGGTTGTTTAGATTTACAAATGTAATTTTAGATGTAACAAGCTCTTAGATAGTTGTGGTAGTTTGAGATGTGTTTATGTCAATGAAATGATGAACTCTTTAAATCTTGTAATTACAATTGTTTATAATTTCACTAGCTATTAGCTTTGAATCTCATCTGTTACAAATGAAAAGAAATTATTGCTGTCTAATTGATTGTCCATGTTTTTGTCAGACTGTTTGTCCATCTACTTATATCTAGCTATCTGAAGAAATTATGGTGAAATTTCATCTTAGATTGGCATTCAAGAGGCTGCTCCCTCTGGACCAACAGACAATGGAGTTGCATACTACACTCCTCCTCTCCCTAGTGCACCCCCTCCTTACTCTCCTCAACAACCTGGTCACTTCACAGACATCACATCAATGTTTATGGTTAGTGGAGGGACCAATGGCAAGGTAAAAACAAAAATAATAAGAATCTTGTCACTAAAATAGGATTTTTGCCATGTGGGCCTTTAATAGAACTGGGCCTTTTCGCAGCACTTTTGTCACCAGCTGAGTGGCTAATTTGCACTTTGCATTAAAGGTGCAAAAGACTCTAAATGTTAGCAATTTGTTCACTTGCAACTGGGTCATCCAATTCAGAGAACACCTCAATTTGAGTAAAGTTTTGATTTGCTTTTGGTTAACAGGGTTTCAGTTGTTGGAGGGTTATGGCCACTTCAGCAGATAACATTGAGCAGATTGACTGTAAAATGTTATATATACCTAAGGCTGTCTAATATTTAACCATTTTTACCCACATCAAAGGTTATAACTAAAAGAAAACTCTATCCTGATGCAAAATAGCTGAATTAGCAGCTTCAGCTACACAACTTCTAAAACTAAACTGAGTAGGCTTAGATCACAAAGAAAACATGTAGATCAGCAAGAATTACAATTTTTTTTATTAGAATTAGTGATCACCAGTGTTTTATAATTAGGGAAAGAAAACTAGCTAAATTGATTTGCCAAGACTCTAAATGCTGGCAATTTTTTTTTTTCACTTCAGAATAATGTTGTTATACTGGCATTAGAGAATAGAACTGTTGAAAGAAATGTAGATGCACAGGCTGTTAGCCTTTAGTGGCATGAGTAAAAGATATTATTAACAATTAATCTAGATTATTCCACACTTGTTAATAAAATCTGCAAGGAGGCGTCTTATTTATCAGTCATAAAATTATGCTTACAAAGTATTTCTTCCTTACTTTCCTATGGACATGGATCTGAAATGCTGTATCAGCATTATTTATGCTTGGTTTTAACAACTTTTTGATAGTGTGTTTATGATTTCACTTAATCTACTCTGCAGCTGCTATATCCTCCAGCAAATTCTCCAAATGGTTTACAGAATCCATATCCACCCATGAATGGAACACAGAATGGTGGAATGAATGGTATACCAATGATGACGATAAGCCCCAGCTGATCAGTATCTTTGCTGATGACTGTAAATTAGTCTTGTATAAGACTGTTTTGCTATGACGCAGTGATATTAATTTATACCTATTGCATAAACACCAATGAAATACCAAGTGAGCTTTCACACAGAAATGTGATATTTTCACAAGTGAGAATAGCATTGTATATCTTTGCAAGTGAAAATAACACCATTATGATGGTTACATAATAAATTGCACCTTTTGCAGCAAAAGTGAAACTGTTTGGTTTTTCAGTGGTGTTTAATTATATAATAAATAGCATGTTACATGGCCACTTGTGAAATATTTTTCAACACTTTAAGATAAATTTCAGACATCCACGCGGCCATGTAATATTATCCTCTATTTAGTACTTTAGATACATACCTAGTCATTCACTACATGCACCAATTTAAAAATTATTTTTTTGATATTTGTTGTAGATCTTTGATATTGTTTCTCGTTTTGTGCTTTTCATGTGCACCATAAATAACATTTGCTCAGTTACTCTTTTAGACATTTAATGTGGAAGCTCTTAAAGCAGATACTCCAGTAACTTGGTGGCTACACCTAACTCTCTTCATGTAGAACCACTTTTAAAACACTCTGAACCCCCATAACAACTGTTTACTTGCACACCAGCTCTCTTGAAAAGAACCTTCCCATAAACAGAAGTGGGTACTCACAGATGTTATAATTTTAATTATAATAGTTTAATTTCCATTGATTTGAAACTCCTCAGTCTAAGCACTAATCAAAAAACAAGTTTCATTACCCATAAGCCCCTGAATTTTATTTTAATCAAATTGAATCTGAATTTCCTTGTCACAATTATTTTGCAATCAAGTAATTTACAACATAATATTTCAGTGTTCTCCTCGTAATCATCAACACTCATTTACTTTTATTTCAAAATGCTAATCAGTTTGGCCACTTCAAGGCCATCTATAATCAGGTAGCCTCCTTCAGGTAGGGATGTTGTTTTGGTTCAGGGTGGAGAGGGCCTGCAGATATGAGAGCTTCCACTGTAATGTAACTTTTGGTTTAAAACCAAAACAAAGTCTTGTTTAAAGTTGTCTTCATTTTGTGATAGCTAAATTTAAAGCAAAGAGTAAAACTGTTCAGACTTACTTTGTTGAAACTTAGTTATAAGTAAATTTAAAACATGTGAAATGGTACTCAAGTCTGATTTCACTTGAGGGTTAGCCTGCAAAGCAATTGTAATTTTGAGGAGGGAATGCTCAGTTTTTTCTCGATAAAGATAATAATAGCTACCATTTTTGAGTTTGATGGTAGCAAAAGACTGGCCCAAGAAAAAAATTGTGCTATGGGGGTGAGTGATAGTCCAAAGGCAGGAGAGGGAAATGGGTGCGTCAAATAGCTGCAGGAGTGTCCTGGGTGGACTGTTGGCCATAAGTTTTAAGGTGAGAGCTCTTGAATTTGTGCTTATAGAAATGATTAACAATTGTTCACCAAATGGAGGTGATTTATACAGTGGCAAGGTAAATATCCACCACTTTCACCAACCCCAAGGTGTCAATAACTGTTTTAGTGCATCCTGCACAGGAGCAAAATCATTGGACAATATTGCATCGATATGCAATGAAATTTCAAAATTTCTTGCCGTGTTTAAAAATATGTAAAGGGCATTACAAAATGCTGTAATAATTGTTCCTCATTATTTATTTTGAATTGCTTTGAAAGTTAACATAATTTAATTAGCAAACATCAAGAGAATTCACTCAGCATTTAATAGTTTAACCTGGTGGAAGCATAATTTTTGCTAAAATAAAGTCTAAACTTATGAACAATTTGCACATTTTGTGTACATATTAAAGTAACTATAGTTTGGCTTTTATAATAAACATAGCTTTTTATTCTATAATGTAGTTAAGAGCTCTAGATGAATCTTGTTAAATTTCACTAGGTTATTTACTAACTACTGTTCATCCATCCATCCATCCACTGCAATAGGTGTATTGTATATAATAATATACATGAAAAAATTTCTCAGTTCTGATTGGTTAAGATGAATGCAGTTTTCAGTTAATTCAGTGCAGAAGAGTTAATTCAGTGCAAAGAAAGAAACAAACCAGACATTCTGATTGGTCAGAATTATTGGTTAATGTCAATGTCAAGGTCAATGTCACTTGCAGGGTTTGAATAAATTATTTTTGCACGTGATGCACGCACAAAAATTTTTTTCAAAGACCACAAATTGCACGCACCCTACGGGCTCATGCAATTTTGTTAGTCTTTGAAAAAATTTACTCATGCTTATTTATTCAAAATTGCACTCGAAATCATGTGATTACCTATACTAATCATTGTAGCTTTCAGTAACAATGAATATGTACAAATCAACAATTGATCAAACAATTACATATGAAATAAAGTTTTAGTTTTCAGTTCTTAACATTATGTTGCTGTCCAGGCAAAACATCCAAAGAAAAGTTACGATACATAACAGAGAATCCCATTCTTTATTAATTTGTATTATTATTATTTTTTTTTTACTTGCATGGAAGACTGTTCTGTATACATAATCTTAGGTAAATGTTATTCATTTACTAAGTGGCACTAGAAATTTGGCAGATGCATCAGATCATGTGAAGGAAATTAAATTCCAACAGTGCATCATTGCAAATGCCATCACTTTTACCTGGGTCACTTAAACAAAATTAACCAAACATGTTTTACAAAACAAAAACATGTAATTCCAACAATATTAATTAAACTGGGTAAATTTATTTTCAGGACATGGCAAATAATATACTATTGGTGCAATTTACAGCATGTTTTCTGTATTCCAATTGGTCAGTTTTGTGTGAGTGACACTACATTGCAAAGGCAGTTTAAGCGTGCCAAATGTTTTGACAGATTGTCATACAGGGGGCAAAGTTTGCCTTCCAGCGAATGATTCTGTTGAAGTCTGTTAAGTTTTTTTTTTTTTTCTAGAGTACTATACAGGTAACTCTCACAAAGACAGATGCTATTAGGACCAATTTTAACTGCTATTCCCATAGAAGTGTCTGGCTTGGAAAAGGGTTGAGGTCATGCAAGGCCAGTAAATTTGCAAGCCTTTCAGTTAGCAAAACCTACAAACTGAGAATTTTATTGGAAAAAAGGAATCATCTTATGTTCATTTCGGTAACTGTAAATACTCACCGCTCTGTAGCTTAGAATCATAATTGAAAAATATTTTTTTGTTAACACCAAAACCCTATTTTATAATTGGTAAGGAGGCCTAAATTCAGTCAAGCCAAGAGCCCAAAAAAAATGAAAATAATTGAACTTGACTTATATTGTATATTCAACACTTTAAGGGAAAGGACCTCAAAGCCTTTCACTGTTTTTGTTTTTTGGTATATTCAAGGAGGAAATAACAAGGTTGATTTGTTGGCAGATTGCAAGGGTTTGTTTGTTATAAGTTTTTTTCCCCAAAAGACGACAATGAGGATGTGTGGCGTAAGACATCTGATGGTGTGTAGCTTTTGAACCAAAAAGTGGTTGATAATGATGAAGTTTCTCTTCGATAGTAACATATTTACAATCTAATATTTATTTAAAAATAAGTATTAGATTGTAAATATGTTGCTATCATGGAATCGATTTTTGTGGCCAAAAAATATACTTAAACCAAGAGAGTGATTGAAAAACGTAAAAAAAAATTGTCAAAGGTAAGATTTAAACTGAGGAATCAGTATTCAAATTTTTCATAATCTTCCCTTAAATAGATAACATTTGCCTGACTTGTGACAAGCAAAATGCAACAATCAGCGGCGGCCTCCCGACCAACCCGCCAACCGGTGAAGGAAAAACCTCTGAGATCAATTTAACTCCCCTGACTTCTACAATTCATAACATTTCGGTTTCGCTGATTCAACATAAAATTTCCTGATCGTGAAAGGTTCCTTTTTCTCTTTCTATTTCCTAACCTAACACGTTTGTGAGAAGTCCTGGCGTATGTTTGGAGGTTTGTTATCTTTCTTTTCTCCGCAATCGTTGGTTTGCGAATCAATTGGATGACAACGGGGAAATTTGGGGAAATATAAGCTTACCTCAGACCTGCTGGTTTTAGCGACTTCCTTGCCGACCAAATCACGTTGCGCCTTTCCTTCAAGTATTTTATTATAAGAGCAGTGGCAAAAACATTATCTCTGGTTTGAAGACACCTTTTTTCTATAACCTTCCTGGCGTATTTGGTGTGAAAATGAAGCCCTTTGTTCAAAGCTCATAACTTATCGCCATAAAGTGACGAAAGCTCATGTATATTTCCGATCGATCGAGTCTTTCCCACCGAGAAGCTTGCCCCAAGTGCCTTTCCTCAGGAAAGTTTACAATAGTGAACGATTTTAATTTGTGCTAGATATGAATAGCCTTAAAATTACTTACCTCAATATTCTCAATGTAACAATTGTCGCACTTTCTGTTTTACTGACTTTGGCCTCAATATGCCGCCTATTGAAGAATATATTAAAAGGTTATACATATTCAGGATTCAATAGCTCGCTATTTTTCTCTCTTCTACAAATATATACCAGCTCAAATTATTTGTGATAAAAATTGCTTTCAAATACCTTTTTTTATATATATATTTGTAGCCTCGCCAATTCAATTAATCCAGGACTGAAAAGAAATGGACAAGTGAAGGTTAATTAGTTCTCCCTTGGGTTAAAACGTTTCCAAACTCAAGTTTCCCGCCATCTTTGACCTAAGAGAATTCTTACTGGGATCAATACTTGCAGCCAATTAACGCAAAAATGAAGACGATGTTTTAGGAGTATACCTAAGTGAGGATGACGATTTCTTTATGAGGTAGTTTTTTAAGAGCACAAACAACATATCTAACCCAGAATATTGATTGAAATATTCAAGGATAGTGCAAATATTATTGATGGAGATTTAAATTCTTATAACCTTTGCTTGGGAACCGCGCTTTCAAAGTAAATTGAGTGCCGTCTGAGTTGACGGCCAGTTACAGATCGAGGATCGCATCAAATTTCCGGATACACTGCATCTTTCAGGCACATTTGTCCGACAACTGCGCGGAAAATGCCTGTTACGCAAATTTGTTACTCAGACAAGTACTCAGACGACCATTTCGAGTACAGGTGAGCACAATTTTATGAACACGATATTGTTCTTTCCCCTTCCACGGAAGCGCTCCCCCAGAGCAGGCCCGGAGAGTGCAAGTTATACGTACATAACTTTATTTAAACTAGGATTTTAGAGTAGCTCACAGAACTAGTATCTCCGAGTAACACCCACCCATCCCACACCAGGGGAGGACATCCACCACACAGTAATCTCGTGCGTGGAGACGGGGCCTACGGTTTATTCGTCCATATCCGAGAAGACTAGAATATCTATCCATTTCTTGATATTATAGAAAGGTAGCAAATTCTCCTCAGTTATTTTAAGACCATGAGTCTTTTTTCAAGGTTAAATAATGACAATCCATCTGTTGGCTTGTAGATGGTGGTTCTCTTATACTATACTTATACTAAATTTGGATTTAAATGACTTACCGGTAATGGTGTTAATGCACCATCAACATTAACTGGAAATTACCAGCCTCACAGTCACTAAAACAAGTCGGATCAGCCACCAAGAATTTTCTCCAACTAAAGAATAATTTCCTCAGTGTTAAGCTCTACTACAAACCATAGACATGAAATTTTTCTGAATGTTTAGCCTGCTTTATTGATGTTCTGGAAGACATCAAATCCCTTAGAAAAATTATGTCTACTCCTCGGCTTCAAAGTCCAAATGACAAAGCAGTCATTTACGGACTGACATAGAAGAGGAGCAATACTTTCCTTTTTAACTGTGGCCATTGCAAGGACTCCTTGCTATTGTGCCAGCAGTATTGTTAAAAACATGTGACTGGATATAGAGGTGTGAGCTAGAATTGCAAAAACCAGATATAAAGCTTGTTGGATTGACCAGCTAGTATTTCAAAATTATCTCAATGACCTGCCCTGACTTTTTGTGTATGAATAATATTCATTATTTTGAAAGCGTTTGTAAGCGTTTAAATCGCCTCCCGGTTAGTTCAATTGGTTAGAGCGCTGGACTGTTGTGCAGGAGGTCAAGGGTTCGAGCCCCGGCCGGACCAACATTCAAGGTCTTAAAATAACTGACAGAGGAGAATGTGCTTTCTATAATATCAAGAAATGGATAGACATTCTAGTCTTCTCGGATAAGGACAAATAAATTGTAGGTTCTGTCTCCTGCATCTTTAATTAGGTCATTTGATTAGGCAGGGGACGCTGAAGAATGCACATCACAAGATTGCTGTGATATGGTCTGGCCTGGTTACTGGGAATTGGGGGGAGGGGGCATCTGTAAAAAATTTGCCTTTGTTGATTGTAAACTGACACTGGCAGTCTGGTAAAGTCCCCTGCACAGTATTGTAAAGCGCATTTGATCATATGCATATGTTAATTTGCACTATCGAAATGTTAATTCGTTCATTAATAAGGTAATTTCAAATATAATTATCCAGTGCCTTTTTTTTTACATTGTGTAACAGCATTTTCCTAAAGTAGCTCAAGTTCTACTTGATAGTTTTTTCTCATATTGCATGTAAGGATAGAGAATGTGATAGGGTTTTAAAATTAAGAAAAAAAATGCTAAGTCTCCAACTTGCTTTTTGAGATACCGGTATCTTTCAAAAACCGAATTTTAGAAGGTCATTGCTGTATTGTTACCATGGCAACTGATGAGGCCTGAGGAGCACTCTTATAAAATTGCACTTCAGTAGTTTTAAAAACATTGCCCCGATGATAAGAACAACAATCCTTTTTTTTTTCTGGGCACCTGCCGTTAATTATGGAAAACCCTTTTGAGCCTCATTTAGTGGTTACCCATAAGAAATGGCTGGGTGACCCCCCTATACAGGTTAACCTCATTTTCTGCCATAATTGACCTCTAAATATACAAACATTTGCTCAAAAATACTTATTAGCATGGATTTTAGATAAACATAAATTAAGTGTACTTGAGAGTTTTTCTTTGTTTTGTTTGAGTGGTTCCATTGTAAGTGACTGTTCAGTGCAGATGAAAGTCAGTACAAACAGTCCGTTGAAACTCAGTATAGGGTGCCCATGACTGCCTAATAGAATTGAAAATTACAATGTTAAGAGGAAAGAATTTTGGGACTTTTGTGACTGACAGCTTTTATACAGGGTGACTGATTAACACAGACAGTGCTCCACCATGCAGGTTCCTCTGTAATATTCTTGTCAAACTAGTTTTGCTTGTTGCCTTGTTTCAGTAGGTTAGAATAGGTAGTTAAATGATTTGAAGTGTAATTTGTTGTAAATGAGCAAAGTCAAGTAAATTTTTCAAAGGTAACAAAATTACCAGAGCCTGTAGGGAAAATGCAATGTTATGTCTTTTGAAAAATTAATAAGTGCTTTTCTACACCAAATTACAGGGGAAAACATGTCATTACCTATTAATAATTCAAATAAAAAAAAATCACAAAAAAATCCAGCTGGATGAAATTTTGACACAGTGCCTTCCGTCATTTGTAATTGGCTCTTGTGTTACAACTTCACACTCTTGTTATAACTTTGCACTCATGTTACATGAAAAATACACTTGTTTTCAACCAATCAGAGGCATTTAATTTTTTCATTTATATTATCAGTCTATGAACAATACACGGTTGCATATGAAGTATTTTCTATACTAGACATGTCATCCTTCCAAAGGATCTGGCAGAGTCTGTTCCCAAGACCCACTTGATGACAGAGAGTGAATGGCGCAACCTTGGGGTGCAACAGTCTCCAGGCTGGATTCACTATCTTATTCATGAACCTGGTGAGTATTTTCCAAGCCGTAATTACAGCTCAATTTTCTGGTCTAAACTGAAGCAAGTCAGAAAGGTATTGTTGTGGTAAAACTTAGATGATCTGTTAATACTAAATTTCCTTGAATAAGCACCCACACTCTAATAGGCCCCCCTCCCCCAAGGCCATAATGTCACATGAGTGCCCCCCACTCCTCCCTCCCTCACTTTCTCAAACAGTAGGGTACCATTTTCTATTGGGACTGTTGGAGTAAAACTAAGATGATCTGTTGATATTAAATTTCCTTGAATAAGCACCCATGCTCTAAAAAGCCCCCCTCCTCCAAAGCCATAATGTCACACAAGTGCCCCCCACTCCTCCCTCCTTCACTTTCTCAAACAGTAGGGATACCATTTTCTATTGGGACTGTTGGGGTAAAACTAAGATGATCTGTTGATACTAAATTTCCTTGAATAAGCACCCATGCTCTAATAAGCCTCCCTCCCCCAAGGCTATAAAGTCACACAAGTGCCCCCACTCCTCCCTCCCTCACTTTCTCAAACAGTAGGGATACCATTTTCTATTGGGACTGTTGGAGTAAAACTAAGATGATCTGTTGATATTAAATTTCCTTGAATAAGCACCCATGCTCTAATAAGCCTCCCTCCCCCAAGGCTATAAAGTCACACAAGTGCCCCCACTCCTCCCTCCCTCACTTTCTCAAACAGTAGGGATACCATTTTCTATTGGGACTGTTGG